TAAATTCGGTGTCTACTCTTATTCCAGACATTTGATCAAATGATCATTTAATTGTTCATTTTTCTTAACGGATATCAACATTAAAAACGGGCACACATTTTGAAATATTAATATTTTATTAATAATATCATTTATGCTGCAAGAAATTTATCTTCAAAATCAACTTTCATCAAAATAATTTAAATCTTTAATATATGAATACAAATTGAGGAAATTAAACTACACGAATCACAATGATTATCTGCATTTCTGGAGTTTTTCTTACTTTCGTTTTCTTTGATGGGATATTTTGCTTCGCAAAAATAAGTTGAAAAATGAAGTAGTTCATGAATAAAAGATGTCGTTTGAATATTTGATGTCGTCATCTCGCCGTATTGAATGATATTTCTATCACAATATGTATTTTTAATATCAAGTACACTTTCATAAGTGATTGTATAAAAATCGGAAGTTGGTACTGAGTTGCCCAGAAAAGAGCAATTATCAACAACAACTTCAGCTGTTGTTGCTGTTAATGTTCCATATTCATAACTCTCGCATATATTTTTCAAGACATTACAATATTTAAAAGCAATTACACATTGCTGAACATGAATAATCAATTCAGATGCTCGAGTGTTACAAAATGAGGAAAACAAAGCGTTACTACCACGTCCTGCATCTATTAGATTTACTCCTGATGCATGTTCTGCATAACAGAAACTTGTGTTTGTGGAATTAACAACAATTTTTCCTCCATCAAACTGATTTGTACTGCCATAATAAATATTTGAATCACCACAATCATAAATTGAACATTCAATAATGTAATTAGGATTGTCTGAAAAAGGATTTAAAGATATGTACATGTGTTGAGCATCTCCAGTAGTTTTTGATTTGTAACCGCATGAGCGGTATTGAACGATTGATTTACCATTTGAAAAGTCAATAACGCTGTCAATATTGCTACCGCCACCGCAATTGGAAAATAAAGTAAATGCATGAAGAAACAGAAGATCATTTTCATCAAGATGAATGGCAGATTTAATTGTAATATCTTCGAATATGCTTTTATATATGAAACATTTGTTACTCGTTGTAGTTGGTTCAACATTCTTCTCTGAAATCTCTCCAGGATTTGGAGAACTTGGATAAAAGAGTTGCCAAATATCATTTGCAGAAATTCTAGGATACTATTATTTTGATCCCTAATTTTCTTGATTGGATTTGCGGAAACCAATCAAAACCAAAAAATCTAACACAAATAAATAATTGAATTTATTTCAAATATAAAAATTCAAGAAGTTGTTTTTCCATTCCAAAAGGGTAACTAAATTGAATTACAACAAATTTCAATTGATTGCTGATTCGAGCAATTTTGACAAGTGAGATTATTTTACATTGAATACAATTTCAAAAGTAATATCTTTTTACTGTTTGTATAATATTATAGACATAATGCATTAAAAAACGACGATAAATATAAAGGTACTGACACTTTTTCTGACCGCATCTAAATCATATTCTCATGAGCATTGATGAAAAAAAGTGAAAATAGAAGAATTGTCTTTCAGCATGCTTTATGGAGAGACAATGGTGAAACATCTAACCCTCTTATTTATGCATGGTGAAAAATGAAAAGAAATAGTTGAATTTCTTATATCATATGGTGCACATATAAGTTACTGTTCTTCATAAAGCCAAAAACATACAAACTTCATAGTTCTCAAGGTGCAAAAAATATTGCTCATACATATAAGTAGATATTAAGTTTGCTAAATTTTGGGGCAGCAACAAAGTTAAACAACATTGAATAAAGTTCAGATATGAGATTTGACTACTTCATTACTAATATAATAATTAACTGCATTCAGAAGAGCATCATTTCCCAATCTATATCTTTCAATGATTTTTGCTTTAAGGCAAAGGAAATACTCTCATTGGGATGGAATATCAAACACTGTTGAATTGGTTATTTTCATAGGATGATACTGTTAAAGTACTAGTATGTAATCACAAAAAAGCCTAAAATGTTTTTATATAGATGAAATTCGCCATTTTTTATCAGCATTTTTTATTCAAGAATATCGCTATTGATCTTTTATAGGCTTTGCATGTATGTGGGATTATGTCATTTAAATTATCTCTCATAATTCCATATTTGCAATCTAATTTGGCATCAATATTAGCTGTAGAATATGACAATACCTTACTTTTTTCTCTAGCATTTCCATAATTACTGTATTTATTGTCATTGCAATAACAATTATTCAAATTGAAATTTCCTTCAGTCTGAAATATAGTGGAAACATTATTTTTATTATGCATGAAAAGGATATTGCCACTACATTTGAATTAATATAAAATAAATTACTTAAACCTATACCATTATTGATAATATTGCAGTTATTAATTTCAAAATCTGTTTGAAAAATATTATGTTGAAGGAAATTATTTTTCCCGATATTATCAATAAAATTAGAAAAGTTAACACGAGATCCTAGAGATCCTATATCAAGAATATAACATGGTGTATATTTGCATTTATTTGAAGTGATATTAGAGTTTTCGATTGATTGTATTCCTTGATTAAGATATATAAGCATTAGAGAATTTTCAATATCTCCGTTATTAGTTGCTGAACAAAAAACAAAATAATTTTTATTATTTGTTGATACTTTTGAATACGTTGTAAGTCCTTGTTTTCTGCCGAAATTTGAGTCAAAACAAAGTTTATTATGAACGATAGATCCGAGATCACCAAAATATATAACACAACCTTGATTAATATTGTCTTCTTTTGTTTTTCCACATTTGAAAAATGAAGAACTCTCTATTAAAACGCATGTGCCATGCTGTGAACTAGTGATTGATATTGCTCTTTCTTTGTTTAATTCTATAAATTTGCAATTTGATACGTAATAGTTGGTATCTGTAAGATCAATTGTGGGATTTGTTTTATTAGAAACTTGAATGTTATTTGTTAACCCAAAATAATCACTCCATGAATTTCGGATTGCAAAGATTAAACTTATCAATCGTCTTTTGGCTCTTGAGATCTATTTATCATTGAATTTAAGGATGTGGTAACTGATTTTAAAGAAATGGTGAATCACGATATATTAAAATTTAAATTTGATAAAATTCATGCTTTCGATCGTTTTTTGTAGATGAGTTATTAAGGATTTTATTGTGTTTAATGATGTCATCATGCCATATTCACCATTTATGCAAAACAAAGCTCAGGGTGTAGAAATACTACTGATGCTTTGAGAAAAAATGAGTAATGTGAAGAGAAAGTGGATACATATGTAAGTGAAAGACTGTTCTATTTAGATATTTACAATGCTGATTATTTCTTTAATTGTTTTCAACTCACTTGACTCTTTTTCAGAATAGCAGAGATAATTTCTTTAACCATTTCTCATCTGCATTATAGCATTAAAAATAAATACTAATTTGTCATAATTTTAATTAATTCAAATGAATTCTTCTTTCAGAAATTTCGGGCTAATGCCAATATCACAGAGAAATAGATCAGGTAGTAATGTTGATGAGCTAACTCTTCCCTAGGCAGGGTTTTCGCTGACAGATCAAAATTCTTCAACTTCAAATCCATCCAAAATTTTTAATAATTCAATGTCAGGATATAACCATCAGAGATCCTCAAGAAATTACATGTCTAGTGGTGATAAAGGTAAAGATTTAGCAAATAAAATTTTCATCCAGCCCATTTCAGGTCCTAACAAACCAAAAATTCAACAAAATGCAGAAACATATCAAAATGATGCACAAACTGCTCGATAATCCATTCAAATTGATCCAGATTCTATTATTAAAAGAATTGATGAGCCAATTAGAAACAGATTACAAGTACAATTACCAATATATGAACTCAATTTCGTTTCTGTACAGCCTGAAACTACAATTGAATATATGCAGCAAGATATTGATCAAATCGAACAAGAGTTATTAGTTCTAGCAAAAAAGTTGTGAAATATCCCAAAAAAATTTGTTTACTACAAGGTAAAGCAGTTTCTCTCACTCAAACTACTGAAGCAATCAATGCCAAGTTAACTGTTTTAGATGATTGGTTAGACAGTCTTGAAGGTGTTAGATATAAATATAAGATAAGATTAATCTAACATTTATTTCTTCATTATTCCTTTTATATATATATATATATATATATATAGAATAGCCTGAAGGAAATGAACCATATAAAATAGAGATTCAGCAAAGATGCTAAGATTGAAACCAAACAAGAAAAAGACCAAGATTCAACAACATATCTTTCTGAAGTTTATATTTTTCTACAAATAGTGCATCATGTGATTAGATTTACATATAATGTGCACCCTTAAGCAGGAAAAAAAATTGTAAATAAGTTATTGAAGTTCTTATTTTAGAAGGTGGAAAAAGCAAATATTGACTCATTTTATCAGTATGTAAAATTTACTACCTTTTTTACACTTTTTGAGCGAAGCTCAAAAAGTGTAAAAAAGGTTACATTCTTTATCTGCCTTCAAAATATGCAATGATCCTTTTTGCACTTTTAACGGTTCTATAGAAAAGGGAAAAATTGAATTGGCGAAAAATCAATTTTAATGAGCTTCATTTATTGATATTTTTTCAAAGGAGCTTTTAAAAAAGATCAATGAGCTATTAACTTATCTTCATCTCGCCCTAACTCTCCTTGTTTTTCACCATTCCAACTCAATTTCAGCTCAAATTGCAATTCTAATTTCCCCAGAAATTAGCTAACAGTCTTACACACACCTTCTATTCCATTTACCAATGAAGGTTTAACCTATTTCCGACACAGCTTTGGGCCTATCCCCAATTATCTTTATTATTTTATTAATTTTCCTCAATTTTGTTTTATTTTGTTTTACTGTGAATAAAAGCGTCGCCATATTCAATTTTTAGTTACTTTTTTCGTTTTCTAAAAGAACCTTAAAAGTGCAAAAAAGGGCCTGCAAATTTTGAATGCAAAAGAATTACACTTTTCTGACGTTTTGTCAGGGGCGCGAAGCGACCCAAAAATGTCGGAAAGTGTAATTCTCAGGTATAAGAAGTTTGCAAATTTCTTTGCTATTACTTAATGCTGCTTTATGAAGAGCAGTTTCTCCAACTTTATCTTTTTCATTGATATTTGCACCGTGTGAAATAAGAAATTCAGCTGTTTCTTTACTATTATTCAATGCTGCTTCATGAAGAGCGGTTTGTTCATAATTATTTTTTTCATTGATATTTGCACCATGTGAAATAAGAAATTCTGCAGTTTCTTTACTATTATAATATGCTGCAAAATGAAGTGCGTTTTCTCCATCTTGACCTTTTTCATTGATGTTTGCACCATGTGAAATAAGAAATTCGGCTATTTCTTTCAAATTATTTTGTGCTGCTTTGTGAAGAGCTGTTTGTCCATCGTTATTTTTTGCATTAATATCTACACCATGTAAAAGGAAATATTCGCAAAGGGATGGAATATCAAACAATGTTGAAGAAACAAAACATTCGTTAATATCATTAGTTTGAGCGAAATAAACTAAAAATGCATCAAGATTATTATAATAATGACATGAATCTAAATTAATTTTTAAATTATATTCATTCATCAAGAATGTAACAAAATCAATGTTGTGTGAAATAATTGCATATTTCATGCATTTTTCATTTGGTTCCTGATGTTTCAAGCATTCACTCATGATCTCTTGATTTCCGCCTAAAAATGAAAATTCTAGACATGTTTGAGTTATTTTTGATTTAAACTTGGTTATTAAGAACTTGAAACAATCAACTGCTCCATAGTAACAACATAATTCAAGTAATGAATATCCACTAACGTAACAATATGATGGATTTGGAAATAAATCGCTTTCAAGTTTTTGATTTTCATGAAATCCATCTCTTTCAGTGAATGAGATAAATCTTTCTAGATCATTATTCATAATTGCTCTGTAAATTGTATCTTCTGATAAAATATCTATGTTTTCGAATAAAATATGTTCGAAATTAGAGGATTTGTTTAATATAATCCCATATTCTTTATAAAAGATGTAGTTAAAAACATCTCTAAAGCCATTGACTTCTGTTACATGATATTCATCAGATATTTTTTTCACAAGTTTCAAGTATGACATAGTATAGCGGTTATTATAAGAAATTAAAACCAAAATATCTTCTATAAGATTTTTGGGAAGATATTTCTTTGAATCAATCAACTCTGTCTTGAGTATTTTGTAAATCTTGTTTAAATCTTCTTCGTTTTCGGTTTTTAACTGATATAAAGCATCAAATGAATCTATGTAGTATTTGTAGATACTTCGCAATTCACTATATTTAATTGGATGAATGTCTTGATCAGACATTCAAAATTTTGAAAGTTATATATTTGCATTTTAGAATATAAAATATCTTTAATATTCATTAAGAAAAAATTCTCTCTTATACTTGGGAAAAACATGGATTTCGGATAAATGTTATTCCAAAAAAAAAACATGTTATTTTGTTTTTTAGTTGCTGTAAATTGCAAATGAATTCATTGTGAAAACATAAATACTAAATAAACTGTTTAAAAATGAAATACAATTTTATTGATCTTGGATTTCAACATAAAATAATGGTATTATTCTTTCCGGTTTTAAGATGAATAATGCCTGGGCACCATGGTATTTGAAGTAGAGTGAATCATATGACTCTGAAGCTTCTTGTATATCTCCTGATGATGGAACAGCTGTATGCCCACAAGCATTTGTTGTAGACTGTCCTGCATCAGCTGCACAAAGAAGGAACGATGCTTTTCCATTGGCTTTCAAGTCATCGTTTATATACTTAAAATGTTCTGAAGTGATAACTGCAGAATCAAACCCACTACGAGATATCTTAATTATCTCATTGCTCTGATAAGTAACAACTCGAATGGAATGCATCGATCTTTCCATTTCAATTAATCTCCAATAAAAGAGAGAACGCTCTACTTTGGTGACGCTAACTTCACGACCAAGACCAGTATAAATGAAGTTTGCTACAAGTTTTGTCTCATCTTCTGTCATATCCGTTGAGTTCAGTGGATATGGAGGAATTCTTGATAACATTAAAATTGCTTTTTCACATTTTGAACACGGCTCCCTTGGCTTTGTTTTTCTTGCTGGCATTGGAAGCGGTGTTGTATCTCTTGCTTGTTCTTCAGCAATTTGAGATTCAGATAAAGGAACCCAAAATTGGCAGCCTGCGCGATTACCCTCAAGACCAAAGAACATATCATGTGTAGCATATCTTGTTTTATCTTGAGCTGCTTCTTGTCTTTGAACTTCAAGTTTTAATGTATCATTGTCATTAACTAAGTTTTCTATAAGTTGATCGATTTCTTCTGGTGAAATATCCTCTGGAGAACGATAAATGAGTTGATCCATTACAAGTTTCTCGCGTAAATTATGATTTTCTTTGATAAGTTGATTATACATCTCAATTCTTGCAGGATCTGGTTTAGTATGTTGCTTACTTCGACCTTTTTGTGATTGTTTTGAGCTGCTTTTCGACGTATTTGAATTATTTGAGATTGGAGAAATTTGAGGCTCTTTGCTCAGGCGAATTCTTGATTTTGGTTTTTTAATCGGAGTTTTATTTTGCTTTTGCTCTTCTTGTGCAAAAAAATCCGAACTTTCCGATGAATAGTATTGTTGTGAGTTATTTTGAGAGCTCAAACGTTGTGCTTCAGCAAGTTTCTTCCTTAACCTCATCTTTTCTTCAACTAATGATTGAACAGATACCTTCTCTTTTGACATTCCTTGTGATGAATTCTAAATTTTGCTAAAAACTGTACGTTTAAAAATTGATTTTCATGATATGCTATTCAAATGATGTTATTGGAAACTACTATACATGTATATCGCATTACTTCGTTAAAGTACCTAATAAAATTTTATATTTGAAAATTTTAACAAATTTGGATTGATCGCTCGGAGATCAGACAAAAACAAATGGTTAATTGTTAACAAATAAAAACAATCTTTTATAAAACATTACTCTGATTTGAATTTTGGCATTGTATATTGGATATTCGTTGGTTGGTAGCTCATTGAGTTGAAATGAGCCTGAATCAATGATTCACGGTCATCCAAAACTCCGCGAATTGTTGCCAAAATCTTCTCTATTATACTCTCTATCTTTTTGAAGCCAAACAAATTAAATTCTTCATTTAGGACATCCATTGATACTTCGCATGCATTTAAAGCAATGGCCAGAACCGAAAGTGCCACAAGTTCGGATCTTTCCATTGCAAGTTCAGAACTCAATAAAGAACAAGAAGCTACGAACATAACGCATTGGGATGTTCTGAAATCGGCTTGGACAACGTTCATGAACAGTTTGAGGAACTGTATTTGAGTTGTATACGTCATATTAAAATTCAAAAATGAAAGAATTTTAATTTCACGTTCTGTAAAGTCGTTTTCTGTGCATTCTATATTTTCATCGTTAAGAATTCGTACGTATTTGTTTGCTCCTGGATATAATGTGTTTTCTACCTTGGCTGACAAAGATAAACAAACCATTGCAGTCAAGAAAGCAGAATCGGTATCAAACGGTTCAACTGATATCATTTTATCGAAAATTCTGCATGCCAAGAACAAAGCACGCGATGGTACCTTTAAATATGAACATTGGTGTAATAGCCAATCAATAACGATGGCTCTTGTACGCTCGGTAATTTCTTTTTGGTTGTCAAAGAGTGTTTTGGTATCAAATTGCATCTCTTCCTTTCTCCACTGTCTGATTATGTTCTTCAAGTATTTAGGAACACAGCGATAGTGATCTTCAGGAAACCCTTCCCAATCATTGGGTGATGTGCCGATCTGAGATCCGTAATACTCGTCACTATCTGGTATGTCGCTCCTTGAAAAAGTTGGAGACATTTGCGAACAAGACTGTGATCTTTGAGAGTGTTGCGATGCGCCATGTTGTGAAAAGTTAAAGTAGTTTTCTTTTTCGACGATTGATTGTTGAGAATCTTTGAAGTTAAAAGGAATCTTATCTGCTTTTGACTCGAAGAAGTGGTATGCGCCTTCACTTTGAGAAGAATCAAAGCAAGAAACCGTTCCAATTTTGCGTGATCCCGAAGTAGGAGTTGCTATTGGTCGTTGTGCACAAGGTATATCATTGTCAGAATCATCGTCTGATTGATTCCAACTCTCATTATCGACATTCTCATCCGGAGGACCCAATCTAGATACTTCTTTCTGCATTAGTGCGCGCGATTGGCTTCCGAAAATTGAGAAATTCATCTAATGAACGTTTACGATTTTCTCTTTTCCATCGATTTTTACCACAAAATGAGATCTCAAAGGAGACAAAACCAAACAATTAAGAAAATATATAATCTATAGATTACTATATCATTATTTATGCGACAAACGTCTTTGGTAAATTTTTGAAGAAATCTCAATTTGTGACCTTTTGACTTGTGACAGTAAATATTTACATCATCTGATATGAAATAGGAAAATATAGTATTGTTAGCGATTAACATTGTTTTGAATAAAAATACCAATATAAATTATTGTGAGGAATTTGAGTAATTGATACACAATTGATGAATTTCATATTTAGGAAAAAGTAACATATTTAATTTTATTATTCTCTATCTAAAATAAATCTTTATCAAAAAAAATAAAATATATAAAAAATATAAATAAAAGTTAGTTAAAAGCCTTCCGCATTTCTTCTCTCATTTCAGAGATATCAGAAATCGAGTATTCGGTTGCTTTGAGTGAATCAGCGTCAATTTCTTGTTCAATCTTAACAGGTATTGAAGCTGCTTCATGTTTCTTCCTTGGTTCTAACAATATCCTTGAGAAAGCGTCGCATAACATTTCAATTCTCATAATTTGATGGGAAGGAGCTGAATAAAGCTCCTCTAACTCCTTCTTCTTATCAACAACGATTGCCAATTTTACGGCCTTCTTGGCTTCATTACGAGGTTTTGGTGGAGTTATAATCAATGGCCTTGATTTTTCTTTCTGTTCGAGGCCAAACTCGTCGATTCCCCATATGAAGTAGTCGTCATCTACGCAGGTTATTCTGCAGAGCGATCCGACCCTTGTAATGGCCACTTTGTTGATGGGAGCCAAGGCAGGAACTTGCCAGGAGAACATCTGGCCATTGTCGTAGAGAACAACAACAGGCTGCTGCTTGTTCAGAACGAATACAAAGGCTCCGTCGCTGGCATCTGCACAGGCGGCTTGGGCGAAAATCATCTTCGACTCGGAAAGTGTCCTGAGATCGTAGATGGCCACGCCAAGTGTTGACTGGATGGCGATTTCGCAATCGCTAATGAATTTTACGGTGTTTACAAGAGCATCTACAGAATGTTCCGCAATAATCTCAAGAGTTTCCGCGTTCATCAAGTCTACGCGCTTGGCATACTGAGCAACTAATATTGTGCCATCGCTGGACCATACTAATGATGAAGGGATAATCGGAAGATGAGATGATCTGAACATTTCCCACATATCTGTGTCGCTGCTTCTCTTCCAGACTTGTAGTTCATGGGAAACGACAACAGTGAACAAACGGAGCGTTGGATGCATTGAAATTGGATTTGCAGTTTTTCCAATTGCGCGAAAACTCTGTTCGAACTCGAATTTGTCATCAGCAATGCGCCAGATCTTGATCTCGCTGTAGTCTACTGTATCTGCGGCGTCTGGATCTTTGATTAATGGGTTTCCTTCGCGTTCTATGTTTTTGTTTTCTTCGTTTAGCAGAGTTATGTCCTCTGCCTTACCGTACTTGATCTTCTTGATCTGTCTCATGGCCGAATAACGCTCGCGAAGAAGTAATTTCTCGTATGCAAAGTCGTGGGCTGGTTTATTGGCTCTTGGACGCTTGTGGTTCATGGAGACTTGTCCGCCAATGGTAAGTTTGGGGTCTGCTTTGCCTCCGGATGTTTCAACTGTGATCATATATTCTTTTGAAAGTTCTACGGCTGTTAACGGGACATTACTATTGTAGGACGAAACCTGTTGTTGTGTTATGTATTTTCCTGTATTGCAATCGAAGATTTGTACTAAGTTTGGCTTGCGAATTGAAATTAATTTTCCATTTGAGAACGAAACGTTGCCAATTACATTCGAAATATCGGAGATAACAGCATGGTTTGCAGCAGAAGCATCAACTACTGCAAGCATGTTCTTATCAAAGATAACAGTGATAAATCTTCCATTTGATGACAATGCGAGGCCTTCTATAGTGATGCCTAAGCGCGGTAAGTGATCGTGTCTATGTGTATTTTGGTTGTAGAAGGTCAAAACGCCTTCAAAGCCACCAGATATGATTGTTGTATCATTGTAAACGAAAGCGTTTGGACAAGCGTAATGCCAGTGATCGCGAATCGGTATTTTGCGGTTTCCGTATACGAATATCATACCATTTGCAAGAAAAGCGATAACTTCCTTATTTCCTCTAAATCTTGCGTAATGAACGGCGACTGGGTTTGGATACATTTCCCTTTCGCCAGTTTCGAAGTTGTATACGTGTATTTTGCATTTATCGACAAGAAGAATTGAATTTGCTTGTTCATTTATATCAAAACCATCCAAAGTCGTAAATCTGATTGGATTTTTACCCTGGAGATAACTGCCTTCATGTAGTTTCTTAATAAACGATTTCTGCATTTCGTTATCAATCATAAAAATAGATTCTTCATTATTGTATTCTACGCACCAAAACAAACGGCGATGGAAGAAAATATAGAAGAGTTTTCCATTGCGGAGTATGAGGCGCTCGATTGGATATCCAGCATCGAATTCTACTGTTGGTTTCTTTTCGATTACAGTCATTCCTGTGAATTTGTGCCAAAATATCATACCACTATCGTCAGATGATATGAGGTAGTCTGAATCGCATACCAATGATGTAATATGAGATTTATGAGTAGTGATTGTGTCAATTTCTGCTAAATCTGGGAGTGCGTATATGTTAATCTGGCATCCACAAGCGACAAAAAGATACGCGCTATCATTTGAAATGCACATAGCCTTCGGATTAAATACGCCTCCTCCGACTTTGCGCACAACGTAAGACATTTCCAGACTTTTGACCACAAATAATCGTCATGAACGGTTTGAGACAAAGATTTTGATTCTGAAAATTATTGTGTCTATCAGTTAATTAGATGTACTTTCAGGCAATAATCATAAATATTAATTTGTTTTTCCTTAAAACCTTAATAATCCTCATATGATAATCAAATGAAGCAAAATTTGACCCAACGATGTGGCCAATGACTAACATATCATGATGGTTTGCTGTTTTGTTAAGAAAATTGTGAATTACGGCATCCATTATAACAATTGTTGATACGATTTTTCCCCCTTTAATTTTATTAAGGACACGAAATGCATTTATTTGTGCACTCAATGCTTATGTCTTTGATTACGATATCTGTAATGTCAACACTATTTGACGAGAAGAATGGATAAGAATTCGAAATATTGACGAAATCCGATTTCTTGTAATGGCAATAATTCTGAGTAAAAAGATGTGAAGCTTTCAAAATAATAAATTTATACAATGCAATAAAAAAAATTATAAAAATTAATCCGAAAAGTCATCATCGCCGTGTTGAGGAGTTGAGAACTCTCTAACAAGTCTTTGTTTCCTTGGTGTAACAAGGAGAGCTTCTGTACTGGATTTTGCAGGAGAGCAAAGAAGAGAAATGGGAGTATTGTGAATCTTCTTGAGAAGAGGAGAATTGAACAAAGAAAGCTTCTCTGGCTCTTTCTTTTCTATATCTTCTTCATCTTCAACCTTCTCTGACTCTTCTATTCTCATCTCTTCGCGTATTTCTGCGGCAAGGATAGGTTCAGATCTCTCTAAATCTTGCAACAATTCTTTATCGTTATCACAAAGAACTCTGTAGAACTTCTTAACAATTTTCTGTAGAGGAGAGTTATTTTCTCTAACTAATTGATGTATCTTCTTCAATGATTGCATCGTTGTACTAATCATTGTGTTGTGCATTAAGTTAATTGCATTCTTTGCACCTTCAATGACTTTCTCCATATCTGATCCTTCATCTGTATTTGCTTCTGTCTTTGTAGATGAATGCAATTTGTCTTCCATCAACAACAAAGCATTGAAGCTATCTGACAAGAGTAAGCTGTGTTCTTTGAGATTAAACTCACATTTAATGAATCTATCAATAACCCTTCCGAAGATGTCTTTAACTAACTCAAAAAGAACGACTTCGTTCATAGGAGTTACTAACAACTTATAAACTTTCAAACGCCTTTCATCACCTCTGAATCTAAATCTCTTCTTGATCTCTGGATTTTCGATCAGAGAAGCAATCTCACAATCAGTGAAGTACATCAATGTATCAATGAAGTATTGCTTCAGTAAGTTAGGGAATTTAGGAACAATAACATGGAAAAGGCAGATTCTCGCAAAATGAGCAACATCTTGATTATCATCTGTGATGCTGTATAAGAATCTAAAGAACAAAAGTGGACTCATTTTGAGGAAATCTTCTACAATAAGTCGTGTTAAAACATTCAATGCTTGCTTTCTCACAGCTGGTGATCTATCAGAAATAGCATTTGTTACTGATTGAACATGCGGTTCAACAATTGCAGAATAAGCAACGCACATATCGCATAAAACAATTAAACAGTTTGCTTTGACTTCACTTGCTGTATCTGTCATGATTTGATGAACAAATGCTGATGCAAAAGCATTTGAGATATCTTTTCTTGCAAGGCAAAGTTTACCAAGAGCTGTAACTGTGATTGTTCTTATTAGTGTTGGTATTGGATTTCCATTAGGAAGCTTTTCACTCATCAACAATTGCAAACCAGTAAAATCTATATCATTTGTACGCTTTGGATCGTTAAGACAAGAAATGAGTTCGCCAACAATATAAACAGTTTGCGAAAATGCTTTGATATTTGTGAAATCGCCATGTTCATCTTCAGCAACTCCATTAATCTTGTTCATACAAATTGAAATGAAATTCATTAATTCTGTATCATCACCAGCACCTTGAGCCTTAAAGAGCTTTAGGACTTCGTGAGAAAGTAAATATCTTCCACCTTCTTCGACAAGTTGGTTGATGATTGTAATCAGATCTGTATGGATTTCATCAGATGAAATTTCCAAGTGTGCAAGAGTTCCATAATATTCTGGTGGAAGTGTATCTCTTCTGTACCAAAGGTTCTTAAAGAAATCTTTGTTAAATGATGATTTAACAATTAGTGTTAATGACTCAAGCATGCGCCAGTATGGCCTATTTGTATCATACTCTCTGTTGACAACGAATTTTGTGAGTGCTTTGCATAAAGGACTTAAATCTATAGAATGAAGGCGCATGTATAAGAAAACTCTTCCTAAGAATTCGTAGTCTTGTTTATGCATGATCTTTGTGAATAATTCTGGAGATCCTGCGCAAACTGGTTTTATCAAATGATTTCTGATAGCATCAATTGCTTCCTTTTGAACAGATTGTTCAGGATCTTCAATCAATGGAAGAATTGCATCAAGCCATAAACGATGAAGTCTTTCGATGTTTGGAAAAGAATCAAGTAAATCGCCAAGAGTCTTGACAGCTGAAACACGGATAGAAACACTCCAATCACGAACTCTTTCATCAATGAGATCAATCAAAGAGTCATCTGGAGCTGTGTCTCGTGAATAAATGATTTCTCTGATTGTTTCTAAAGAGGCTCTTCTGACAACTAGCTTTTCATCAACAGATCGTGCCTTAAGGATCTTTATCATGAATTTATTAGTATCAATATTCTCTAATATCAATCCTTTGTCTTCATGATCCTTCAAATTAGAAATAATTGTTGATAATCCGGACAATGCGGTAGCTCTAACACTTGGAGCTCTATCAATAACATGCTTTTTAAGGATATTAAGCATTTCTTCTAGAACGTTGCCTCTCAAATCGCTATCTGGGAACAATTGAGTTAATTGAACAACGCACATTGCAAGTAACTGTGATGAAAAGACTCTAGAAGATACCTTATTTGACTGTGCAACCTTCATGACGAAGTCAATAAGTTCTTTCGCACAATCAGAATTCTTGATAAGTTCAAAAACTAACATTGTTGCACGTACCTTCAAATTTGCACGGTCTGGAACTCTAAGTATCAGATGCTTAATGAAAAGAATGTAGTATGGATCATCCTTCTTGAAAGATTTGATTAATAATTGAATGATTCTATCATGAAGTCTTTCTAAGCGTGCTGTTGTAGTTGAAGAACTTGTAGCAAATTGTAAAAGGGACCACGGGACAATGTATTGAAGAATTACGTCTGTTTTAGTTTCAAGCATCAATCCAAGTAAATTAAAAGCGGTATTTTGGAGTTGGCTATTGAATTTCTCATATTCTGGTCTATATCCAGAGGCAAGTTTAATTGTTGCTTCTGATAAAGCCATGTATACATCATCTCCTATCATATTAACGAAAGATGCTGAGAAACATTGTAAAACCATTGGGAATACTTGGATGGTTAGCTGTAACTTCTTCTCGATTTCACTTGTTAATGCACCTCCCTCTTCAATTATTTGAGATGCTTGTGCTAATATACCAAGGAAAGGTCTGAAGAGGATTGGATTCCAAATTGATAGAGCAGGTTCCATTGAAAGTAAAATCATATACATTTGAACACCATCTGCAAGAAAATCTTCACCACTTTGTAATAAATAAAATGATATTAACTCAATCCAATCAGGACGAACATCTATTTCTCGGAGTGAAGCCCACAGATCAGATTGATTTTGTTTACCTGACCAATTTCTTAAAATTTTTGTAAGTTGCTTGATTCTCGAAACGTTATTTTTAGTGATTTTTGGTAATTCGGAAATAAATTGTGTGAATTCTATAAGATCACCTCTTTTCATTGCATGGAAAACATCCTCGCTTAAAGTATTAATTCCAAACTCGCTGAGAATGTCGAGAATCTCTTCGGCATCCTTCGTCGACATTTAATAAACGGCCTCTAAAATTTCAATTGAATTGTTGAACAAATTCATAAGATTATAGTAATTGAAGATGACAGAGATGGAAAATTTAATATGTACTCCATCATGAATTATGATGAAAGATATTTCCGCAAAAAAAATATGTTATTTTGTTGAAGATTTTTTTCTTAAATGGGCTATTACAACCGATACACGACTCCCGAAGCTGTTTCAATGGTCTTATTTTTACTATATATTAAAGTTGAATCTAAAATTCTGTTTATTTTACCAACGATTCAAACTCAATATTACTAAAAATAATATTAACGAGGGAATTAATTTTTTCTTTATTTAGTAATACCGACTTTAAATATCTGCTAACAAGAATATCTATAAGATTTTTGATAGATATTTAAATGATTTCTGTTTTGATATTGTAAATATGCTACTTCATACCTAATAATATTTGTCGTCTACGTTTTTCACATAAAGGCAAAGATCAAGACATTCACCCAAATATTTGGATTTTTGGACTAGTAGAGTTGATCAATAATGTGAATTTGGATTTTTGGACTAGTAGAATTGTTTGATAATGTAAATTTCTCTCATTTCAACCAAATTCAAATCGAAATTTCTTTTTTTCAAAAAATTTGAGCTATGAGAATGAAAATATTAAGGATATAATTATAACAGTTTATTGAAAATTAAAAATAAATAGATAGCTTTATAAATTAAATAAAAATAATTACTTTGATTTTTCTTGGATTGCCTTTCGAAGCTTAGCAGCCTCTTCTTTCATCTGTGCGATCCTTTCTGTCATATTAGAGAACGTATTCTTCAATTCTCTGTTCTGGAGAACGAGTTCTTCAAGTAAAAGTTGTTTCTGTTGGAATTCTGGCATGGCCAAAATTTTTGCGGTAGGCGGTTGTTTAAGAGTTAACGTTTGTATTTCCAAATCTTTATCTCGAATTTCTTCTTTGACAAGCTCGATTGCTTGAAGGAGCATCTGGGACTTATCCTTGAGTGATGCCTTTTCATCGATAATTCGGTTGATTTGCTCTTGAAGTTCTTTGTCAACTCGAGGAATTTCGTCATCTGTACCGGTTTCCTTGATGTTGTTGAGTTTCTTACGTAGTTTTGTGATCTTCTCATTATGTTTAGAGAGCTCTTCTTCGGTTTTAGCGTGTAATTCGGAAATTTTCGATTGAAGATTTACTTTTTCGGCCTCTTGTTCTTTGATTTGGGCTTCTAACTGTTCCCTTTCAGCTTTTATCTTCTGAAGTTCTTCGTTTCTTTGACCAATTATCTTGATTTGAGCTTCTTTAGCAGCTGTAAGCTTCATTTCAGCTTCGGCAATAGCTTTCTTTGTAGATTCGATTTCGCTGTTAGCTGCTGATATTTTTTCTTGTGTAAGTTTGAGTTTCTTTTCTGAATCTGCGATATCTTGGGCTCTGTCCTTTATCTTCTTACCAAGGTCGTCATTTTCACGATGGAGATCTGTAACCTTTTGATCTAACTCGGCAAGAGCTTTTTCATCGGCTTCTTTGGCTTTTCTCATGGAATAAATTTTGCTGTTTAAATCTTCAATGTACATTGGCATCGCTCTTGAGTTCTCGAGGAATTTCATAACTGGAATGTATTTCTGAGCTCTAGCTTTAAGAGTTTCAAGTTTTGATGATTTTTGCTGAATTCTGAGTTCGTGTGTCTTTAATTGCTGCTTGAGCTGCTCTAGTTGGCCTTCCTTATCTTTAGTTTGCTTTTGAACTTCAGTAATTTGCTGGTTAACCTCGGTAATTCGATCAGAAACACGTTTTGAGTTAGTTGCAGCCACTTCTGCAGCTTGTTGCTGAAGTTTGCCAAGTTCTTCTTTAAGGACATCTACTGATTGTGTGTGCCTCATCCTCATTTCGTCTCTTTGTTTTTCACATTGCTCAATTTGTTGTTTTAATTTTGGTAATTCTGCATTAGCTGCCTGCAGATTATCTAATTGTTCCTTAAGTTTGAAGTTTTCCTGGCCAAGCTCAACAAGTTGGTTTTGAAATACAGTAAACTCTTCTTCACTCAACATTTTTTTTTCGCCACTAAGAGATTTTTATCTGCAAAAGAGACTTAATAATTGAAATATGTTATTGGTCTATAAGTCTATGTAAAAAATGAAAGATGATGTTTTAGTTTTATTTCGGATTTAGGAAATTTCATCAATAAAAATGAACATTTCTTCAATAAATCTTTTTGTATCTCCTAGAAATAATAAGTCAACTTTACTTCTAATAGTAAAAAGCATTCTTCAATGTTCAATCAGCAAAAATTGCAAAAATTTTATTGCTTTCATTGAAATAATAAGATTTGATTTTAAGGATAGAATTGCATATTTTATTCATTTTAAAATCGAACTAACAATGATCATCGAACAAAAAAAATATCTTGACCATGAAATTAGATGGAGAATATATAACAATAAATGAATATGTTGACTCTTCATCATTTGTCTAGAAATTCTTGTGTTTTTGCCTTAAAACAAATGATTATTTCTTTAAGATTTGAAATTTGAACCATGAGATTTAAGGAGATCTGCAATTTCCTTATTATTTTTCTCTAATGAATATTGAAGTGCTGTTTTTCCTTCATTATCTTTTATGCTAATATCTGCACCATGAGAAACAAGTAATTCTGCAATTTGTTTTCTATTACTCAAAGCTGATAAATGCAAAGCTGTTCTTCCTTTATTATCTTTTGCATTGATATCTGCACCATGCAAAATAAGAAACTCTGCTATTTGTTTTCTATTATGAGTTACCATTCTGTGAAGAGTAGTTCTGCATTCACTGTCTTTTTCATTTATATCTACACCATGAGAAATGAAATATTCCCAAAGTGAAGGAACAAAAAATCTTGGCGAAAGGAAAATAATATTATCTACTTCATTTGTTTGATCTAGATACACAAAAAACGCTTGATAATTATTGTAATGGTAGCAGTATAATAATTCGATTTCTATATTATATTCATTCTTCAAAAAAGTAACAAAATCAATGTTATGAGAAATAATTGCATACATCATACTTTCTACATCTGGTTTTATACATTTCAAGCATTCGCTCATTATGTCTGGATTACCACCAAGAAATGAAAATTGATGGCATGTTTGTGTTATTTCTGAGTTATATTTTGTTCTTAAAAATTTAAAACAATTTACGGAGCCGTAATAAGAACATAATTCGAGATATGAATATCCTGCTTTTGAATATGGATATAAATCATTTTGTAGCATTTGATTGCTATCAAATCCTTCGCGCTCTGTCAATGATATAAATAATTCTTTGTCATCATTCATAATTGCTTTGTAAATTGTGTTTTTTTCGAGAAAATCTAATGATGAATTGTATAATTCAAATTTTTCTTTAGGATTTTTGCAATTCTGATCGATATTCAGTCCATATTCTTTATAAATAAGGTAATTAAAAAGAGATGAACTTGAAATAATTTGATCTGGACGATAATCTTCATATATCTTTTTAAATATTGCCCAGTATGATTTCATAGAGCGATTATTGTATAAGGATGCGGTTGATAATATTTTAAGAATGTTAGATGGTGTAAACATATTAGTTTCGATCAATTTATTTTTTATGTCTTTGCAAATTTCATAAATTTCGTCATCAGTGCAAGGTTTTAGTTTGTACAATTTAGTGAGTATATCATTATAATCTTTGCTTACTTCCATTAGCTCTTCATAGTTAATCTTCATTTTTTTGAATTAACGGCCAAATATAGCCTATCGTCGTTCTAGAAAATAAACAGAATTATCTATGGCAAACCCAAATTTTAGCTAAAAGTGACAGGAAAAAAAAACGTTTAGTATTAAAAAAAAAGACCGATGAGAGCTTCGTTCGAAATATAGAGGGAACTGAGAATGCGCAACCATTCTCAGGGAATATTGGATGCTATTTCCGTTCCCTCTGTATGGAAAATTGAGGTTTTCAAAGGGAGTTAAAATAATATCAAATTTATACTAATTTACTTCAAAATACAAAAGTATTTGACAGCTAAAATTAGTTACTTTAGCAAGCCTATCAATACCCTTTTACGATTATTGCTACTTTTTCGAAATAAAAGTAAAAACAAATTTATACTAATTTACTTCAAAATACAAAAGTATTTGACAGCTAAAATTAGTTACTTTAGCAAGCCTATCAATACCCTTTTACGATTATTGTTACTTTTTCGAAATAAAAGTAAAAACAAATTTATACTAATTTACTTCAAAATACAAAAGTATTTGACAGCTAAAATTAGTTACTTTAGCAAGCCTATCAATACCCTTTTACGATTATTGCTACTTTTTCGAAATAAAAGTAAAAACAAATTTATACTAATTTACTTCAAAATACAAAAGTATTTGACAGCTAAAATTAGTTACTTTAGCAAGCCTATCAATACCCTTTTACGATTATTGTTACTTTTTCGAAATAAAAGTAAAAACAAATTTATACTAATTTACTTCAAAATACAAAAGTATTTGACAGCTAAAATTAGTTACTTTAGCAAGCCTATCAATACCCTTTTACGATTATTGCTACTTTTTCGAAATAAAATAAATTTATTATCAAAAACCTTTTTTTTCTTAGTAAAAATAAAAATGTTATTTTATATCAAGTTTTTATTCATAAATTTTTATAATGTTGTATAAATTTCATTAAAATTTACGTACATATTAAGGTACTTATCTTAATAATGAAGATTTTATTTTGCAATAATATAAACGAAATTTTTTACCTTATGAACTTTTGATGGAAATATGCAAATTTAAAATAATAAAGAAAGCCGCGAGCGAAGCGATCGGCTTAGTTCGAAGATTTTGATTCAAATCTTTGCTGATCTGTAATTCGCGGAAGCCGCGAGCGAATCGAGCGGCTTAGGTCTAAGATTTTGATTCAAATCTTTGCTTATATTCCTTAAATTCTTTATGAAACTCGCAACAGTTCCATAAAAAATTTTAAATTCTAAACTGTCGAAATTACCGATCGGTAATCACACCCTTCACGGGTGTGTCACTTTTAGCTAAAATTACCCCTACTCCATCAAAACTCGGTGTTTGAAGCAAAATATGTCTTTTCTTCCATAACATTATTCATATATACTGTATTTTAGCAAATTTAAAGGCTAAGAAACTCAGAACCGCTAAAATACTGATAGGTGACTCATCAAGTTGTCCGATGACATATAAAATTAACTTTACATGGCAAAATACTCCGTGAATTTTTCACGTCTTATTAAAATTAGTTTTCTCATAATGACGACAATAAAATGCTAAAAGTGAGTATAAGACAGTCTCTCAATTTGTGTCAAATTTTTGTCCTCTGAATATTTGAATTGGTTTCGTTTTCCTTTTATTTTTGTTAGAAGGAAAATGGCTGAACCTGAATGTGTTTTTTGTGGATGCAAAGAAATTACAAGTCTTGCTAAGCCAAAAGATTATAATTTTTGGCTTTGTAACGCTAAAAAAGGCCTAACAGCAAGTCACTTAGTTCAATTCCTCAAAAAATCAGATTGCAAAGAAATTGAATTACATCCTGGCAATCCATTTCACGGAATTGAATTCAAATGCGCTGTTTGTGGTCAAACAAACATCTTCGATCTCGGAATATTAATCACACAGACAAACCAAATTATTGTATGCTCAAGTCAATGTCAGCATGATGCTCAGTTTAAGGGAAAGACAATTCAATTCATTCCAATTATCTCGAATTCATGCGTTGAAGAGCAAATTTTACCATTTCCTGAAAATTGTCCAAATGAAGTTACGCCGGCATCAGTATCCGACAAGATTAGACAACTTACAGGCGTAGGCGTAGTAGATGCTAACAAACAAAAGCTTCCTGAAGGAAAATATCAATATGAAAGTGTTGAAGAATATACAACCACATTTAATGCGTTCATACAAGCAGAGATGAAGGCAGACTACTTCAGAGCGCACAATACATCAACTTCTATCTCAAATATCAAATGGGAAAATAAAAGGAAGTTTTCTTTCCCAGCCAAGCGATCAATGAAAAGGAAATTCACTCCTACGATGAGTTACTTCATTTCCAAGAACAACAAAAACAAAGATGAAACAGAAGTTGCTTTCTTCAACAAATTCAACGACAAAGAAGGTACATGTTCGCTCTGCCTCAAAGGAGATTCGAAGTTTTACGGCGCTAACTCATTAAAAGTCCAAAGAGTTCAAAATTCGATCACATTTCAACGCCAACTCAAATCTCTTGACTACATGAAGAACGGACTCGAAGAGTTTTGGGTAAATTTGTTCCTTGGCAAGTTCGATAAGAAACAATTCCAAGCCAAAAACGGAATTAAGAAGATTCCTCTTTCAAAAGACATAAAAGTCACAAAACAATCGTCCGGCCTCAATTTTATTGTCAGAGACAAAAACACTGTCATTGAATTGAACCGTTCCCAAGGAAAAGCCGTTGAAGCCGCATTATCTCAACGATTTACTTACATCCAGGGGCCACCAGGTACAGGAAAGACCACATCCATCACAGCCATCGTCAAATCATTCGTTGATGGTGGAATTTTCCCAGTATTAATCGTTGGCCACTCAAATGTAACGGCTGACTTCGGTTGCCTTGCTTTATCGAACATCGGACTTAAAGTAGGTCGTGTTCTTTCACTCGAAATCGAAGACGCGATTCAAGCAGCCAAATTGAATGAAATTGATTCGGAATACAATTTCATTATCCCTGGCTACGAGAGATCCAAGTTCTCTACATTCCAAAAAGCCAAGAAGCAGTACATCGAGAAGTACGGAACAGAGCCAGATCTGGCATCTTCCAAATCTTATCGTAAATTCAAGAAGATCGAGCAGAGAATAATTGCCGATTGTCAAGTAATTTGCGTTACATCTTCAACAAGCGGTTCTGTAAGAGTTGAAGGCAATTTCAGAGCAATTATTTTCGATGAAGCCGGCCAATGCCTTGATCCTGACTTTTTAATCTCAATGAAGCATAATCCGGAACGTCTCGTGCTTGTTGGCGATACTTTCCAGCTCGGACCGACAATTCAGAACAATGCAGTCCGAAATGCAGGTTTCGGTGTCAATTTAATGAAGAAACTTGTCAAACTTGGCCTTATTCCTAACATTCTTACCTACCAGTATAGAATGCACCCTTCCATTCTCGAGTTTCCATCAAAAACTTTTTACAAAAATTTGGTAAAAAGTGGCATTTCGGCCGAACAAAGGATCTACAAGTTCTCGAAGCCTAATTTCAAGTTCCCCAACCCCCAGATACCACTAATGTTTTGGGATGTCGAAGGAAAAGAACAATCAGACGGAGATGGAAAATCTTACTGGTGTTTGTCACAATGCAACGCTGTTTCGCAAGTCCTCGATGCTCTATTTAATTCAGGAGTACCAGCAAACTCAATCGGAATCATTACTCCTTACAATGGACAAAATGATTATTTAATGGACAACTTAGACTACATTTGCGAGTCCTGCAGCGCGGAATACATCAAGAATGTCGAGATTGCTACAGTCGATGGCTTCCAAGGAAGAGAAAAAGACTTCATTATTTTCAATTTGGTCAGATCCAACGAGAACTACCAAATTGGCTTCTTGTCTGATATCGAGAGACTCAATGTGTCAATAACAAGAGCTAAATACGGCCTCATTGTCATTGGACACTCAAGAACTTTCTCAAAGACGAAATTGTTCTGTGACTGGTTCAATTTCTTCATTGAAAATAATTGTTTCATGGCCGGAGGAGACTTCAAGAGCCTTCAAAAGGGAACTTTTGTTCCAAATTTGGATAAAGATCCAAAGGAGGCTCCTGAAGAAGGAATCTTTGTATAATTATATTTTGTATTCTAATAAAGTTATATTTTATTTATATAAACTCTAGTTTTTTTCATATCAATTTCAACATTTTAGTTTTCTAATTGATTTCGTATTAATAAACATCAAAGTTTTTGGTAATTAGTTTAAAAGTTATGGCTCGTAGATAATGAGTAATAAATATCAAGTATCATTAAATTAAAATGTCATCGGAGTGTTTTCACCATATCTATAAAGTAACGCTTATTTTAAAGGAGGAGTATAGCTCAACTAAAAATGTTTTTACATAAAGTCCAGGTTCAATTGAACATTTTTGTCCATATTTCATACAAGAGCAATATAGATATTCATTTTTTTTTGCAAAATGCATATACCTAGCTTAGTAAAATATAAGTAGTCCATTAGAATATATATCATAAGTATTGAAATGTTTATGATCAAATAATATACAAACACATAAAAAATAGTAATTAGATTTCTTGATTAAGACTCATTTCTAGCTCATCTGTCAATGAAGCTATTCTTTCTATTGATGATAAAATATCTAAAGTCTCTCTCCAGAAATTTGTGAGAATTGGTGCTTCAAAAGGTAATTCCGCGTGTATGATCTCGTACCAAATTTCAATAAAAGCAGATTTTGAGCAAAATGTAGCCATGTAAACAAGATATTTTTGTACAGAGTTCGAATATTTTTCAAATGACCTTTCTTCAATGGCGCATGCAATATCATTTTCCAATTTAGCACATTGTGCACTTGTTTTTGTATCTGGGTTTGCCATTAAAGTATCTAATGGTTCAACCACTAGATTCCAGTGATTGTCTTGTAATCTGAAGTGTCCTCTTGTTCCACATAGCGTTATAATAACTTTGTCGTCCTTTTTAGTTAAAACAATTGTTTCAATAACTCCAGAATTTCCAGGAACTGCAATGTTCTTAATAATTCTCTTTTCTGGTATAGATAAGACTGAAAGCATACCATTAGCTGTTAAAACTATTGCGTATGGATCATATTCTTCAGATGCTAAAACTCTAATTGGTGGGGTAAAAAGAAGCGGACTTCTGGTAAGTTCGCGTGTCCCTGGTTCTGTTAGGAATAATTTGCCGTCTTTTGTTGCATACAATCCTCTCTCTTTATCGACAAGAGAAAAGTTTGTATTCATTGACTAAAAAAAATTCAAAATTTATATGGACGTTAATAATAACTCTATCTCAATGATCTCGACGTCTTTATGGTACTTGGTTGCTACCACAGAATAAGGAAATGAGTATCAGAAGTTATGTCTTGTATGCTAAGTTATTAATGAATGATATTGTTGAAATATATAACTTAATTTGTATTCCCTTGGAAAACGAATTTCTTATTTGTTTATTAGAGTTTGGAAGTTTTTATTAGATTTTTAAGGATGAAAACACAACCTCAAAAAACTCTAAGTTATCTATTGGAATGAATGCGAGTTCTTCAAAAATAAATATAGAAATTTAAGTATATGTACGTAATAAAGTTGTTACCATAAGAATTCTTTCGTAAATAAGCAAAAAATTCAAATGATTTAAAAGATTTCTGAATATTTAACAATTTAAGGATCATTCTATGCTAAATTGTGATGGCGCGATTTGATCATTCTTGGACGATCCCTGTCTTTTTGAGTGGAAAAACTATGGGAAATCCGAAATCATTGTTTTCCGCATGTACAACATAGTATTTTTTCTTCTAATGAATTTAAGGGGTATTTCATATGGTAGATAGCAAATATGTCTTTTTTAAAAATTATTAATGTCGGACCTAGACGTTGATCCAAACGAATACAACAAATTACGAAGTATCTACAAATACTACATTGATTCATATATTGCGCTGCATCAGCTGAAAACGGATAAGGAAGAAGAATTAAACAAGATTTACAAAATGATCAAAACATAATTGATTGACTCAAAGAAATATCCATCAACCAAGGTTGTACATGACGTTTTAGGTATAATTCAGTATAATAACCGCTATACAAAGTCATATTTATTTCTTGCCAAACTCATATCTGATGATTACCATGTTACAGATGTCAGAAGTATTGAACCTATTTCAAACTTCCTGTTTTATAAAGAATATGGAATTAAATTATACAAGTCTACTGTTTTCGAAGAAATAGAAAATCTTAATATTCATACAGAAGATACAATTTACAGAGCAATTATGAATAACGACAAAGAAAAATTTATCGCATTCACTGAAAGAGATGAATTTGATGGAAATCAAAAACTTGTCAGCATTTTATATCCATATTCTTACGAAGGATATTCATTACTTGAATTATGTTGTTACCATGGAGCAGTTGATTGTTTCAAGTTTTTAAGAACGAAATTCAACTCAGAAATAACTCAAAAATGTCTAGAACTTTCATTTTTGGGAGGAATTCAAGAGATTATGAGTGAATGTTTGAAACATCAGATACCAAATAAAGCATGCATGGAATATGCAATTATTTCACACAACATCGATGTCGTTACATTCTTGATGAATGAGTACAATATAGAGATCAATTTAGAAGATTGTGGAATTTACAATAATATTGAATCCTATTTAGTTTATTTCGATCAAACCAATGATATAAACAAATGCTTTGTTTATTCATCGATTTTAAATATTCCATCCCTTTTGTAATACTTCCTTTCACATGGTGCAAATATCAATGAAAAAGATGAATATGGAAAAACTGCACTTCATTTTGCAGCACTGAAAAATAGAAAAGAAACAGCTGAATTTCTTATTTCACATGGTGCAAATATCAATGAAAAAGATAAACATGGGAAAACTGCATTTCATATTGCAGCATTGCATAATAGTAAAGAAACTGTTGAATTTCTTATTTCACATGGTGCAAATATCAATGAAAAAGATGAAGATGAGCAAACTGCACTTCATATAGCAGCAGAATATAAAAGTAAAGAAACTGTTGAATTTCTTATTTCACATGGCGCAAATATTAATGAAAAAGATGAAGATGAGCAAACTGCACTTCATATAGCAGCAAGATATAATAAAAAAGAAACTGTTGAATTTCTTATTTCACATGGTGCAAATATCAATGAAAAAGATAAACATGGAAAAACTGCACTTCATATAGCAGCAGAATATAAAAGTAAAGAAACTGTTGAATTTCTTATTTCACATGGCGCAAATATTAATGAAAAAGATGAAGATGAGCAAACTGCACTTCATATAGCAGCAGAATATAAAAGTAAAGAAACTGTTGAATTTCTTATTTCACATGGCGCAAATATCAATGAAAAAGATAAATATGGAAATACCGCACTTCATATTGCAGCAAGATATAATAAAAAAGAAACTGTTGAATTTCTTATTTCACATGGTGCAAATATCAATGAAAAAGATGAATATGGAAAAACTGCACTTCATATAGCAGCAAGATATAATAAAAAAGAAACTGTTGAATTTCTTATTTCACATGGTGCAAATATCAATGAAAAAAATAAAATTGGAGAAACTGCACTTCATTTTGCAGCAAGATATAATAAAAAAGAAACTGTTGAATTTCTTATTTCACATGGTGCCAAAAAATAATGTTCTTACATAAGATATTCTTTAGTTTTCTGATATTTTTGAAGAAGATTTTCATTTGAGAGTAAATTGAATAAATTCTCTTCGAAAAATTCCAATTGTCACTTTTTGTTTTATATATTTGTGCATTGAGTTTGTTAGATATGATGAGTTATATTATATGCATCCTGGTGAAGTTGCACATGAATTCACTGGATAAAGTCTTCCAAAAATGCAAAGAACTTGACTGCATTTTGCGAGGAGTAGTCTGTGATGATACCGGAGATAAAGAACCCTTTCCATTTGGCATAACTGGTGAAACTGATGTTCCGAGAGTAAATGTGTTCTTTCTTGGCCTTGTTTTATGGGATAATTGCTCGAAAACAGAAGCTTCTCGCTTTAGAACCTGTATTGAAGGGAAATTGAAGCATTTAATGTGCTTTTGGGTGATTTGGATGATTCCTGATTTGTTTGCACTGGATTTAGAGTAAATACTAGAGCTCAAAACAGTGTAGAGGTGATCGTTTTCAAATTTCTCGACTCCATTTTAAACGCATTGGTGTCCACGAATGAGACCTTGTAATTTATTGTATGAAAGGAAATTTTTGAGGGCAGTTAAGTCAAGTGTACAGCCCATTTTTCTTGTTGAAGGACCAGAGTTCGATGTAGTTGTTGTTGGATCGCTCCAGATAATGTTTGTTAGTAGTTGTTCGTATGGAGTTGATTTATATGTAATAACAGGCTCAGTCTAACATGTATCGAGAAGAGTTGGACTGAGGCCTCCATGAAGTGCTGCTTAAGATGGCCGCAAATGACATCAATGCGAATCATTTATTGCAGGCATCATAAACATCAAGACCATATTCTTTAAGGCATCTCAGAAAAAGAAATATTATAACTAAAAACAAAAGTTTAATATATTAAGTAATATTATAAAGTAATTAATGTCTGTGCCTTTCAGCATCAATTTTTTCCTGAGTTTCCTTGAATATTTCTTGCAAAGGCTTTGATGCACCTGCATCTTGTGCCTGTTGAATACATTCTGGAATGTGGAACGGTGGAGACATTTCCTGTTGTGGTTCATCAGGTGAATAAGGAGTAAGATTCAAGTTGTTCGGAATAAATCTGTCTTTTTCTTTGTCATAATGAAATCTCTGGTATTTCCACTCAATATTATTATCTTCGTAATATTTACGTTCGGCACGCTGCTTATCTTCGAGAGCAAGTTTGTGTTCTGTAGCATTTTTCGTATCTTTCATTAATAAGTAGCGAGTGACGTTCTGCCAGAGAAATTGGGATTCGTATGGGCATTGTTCTGTGTAATTGGGATACTTGATGCGTAATGGAATGTTCTTTCTCACGTCAAAAGCAAGCCACGTCTTATTCGTTCGTAAATCTGTAGCTTTTACGTAGGCGGACCATCTGCCAGTGAATTCTATGACTGTCTTTGGCGATTTCCTTCCTGGTTCGTAAACATAACCTTTAATTTCGTTATATTTGCCACGGAAAGTTGGTTTTTCTTTGAATTTAATTAGTGCAGTGATTCCTGTCTGAGGGCACTTAATACGTACATGACCGCAAATTTCCATTCGAAGAGTTCCGATCAAAACTCCACGGCCATACATGTCCGGAAAGTTAAATTCATATGTTTCATGGCGAGACAAGCACTCGAAGTTCACTTTCGTATTTTCGTTATCCATGATTGCCGCTAAAGAATTTCCGGTAAATTTAGATCTCATTTCTGAGTGGCCCCAAATAACTGAATTTCCTTTCCTGTCACTGAAATAGAATGCTGAGATTGGTGGGTGATGCGAAACTTGTTCAGCTTCATATGTTCCCCCACAAGTTCCATCAGGATTTAATAAAGAAGCACGAAATACTTCACCGAGAAGGGAATTGTATGGTTTCTTTGGTAAGCGAGGAGCCATATGAAATCCGGATACGATCCATGTGCATAGATGAAAACATCGCATTACTGGATCATCTTCTAAAGCCACCTTCCGCAAAATGTCTGCATGAGACATCCAGTCTGTTAGTCTTTGTATTGTAGAGCGAGTCTCAAGAATAAACGTAGGCAAGGTTACTTTTGCCAATGACATTCCTGGTCTAAGTTGGCTAAGTAAGAATCGAACAATGCTCCCTTCACTTTTAGGAATCTCTTCACTAAAATCTTGATCATCTATTTTGTCTAGCTCTTCAATTCTGGACTCTTCAACCATTTGAATAGATGTGATGACAAAATTTTTTGGATGAAATTTTCTCTCTCAATATAAGAAAATAGCAATAACCATTTAATTAGCTGATTATTTGTTTTTTAGGAAGAAAAATTAAATGATTTGTCGATAAATTTCTAAAGTGATTCAATCTTGAATATATTAAAACTACCTAATATCAGTAGAAATCAACTTTTTTCAACAAAAAAACTTAACCTTTCAAATCATTCTTTACACTTTAGCTAGCAAGATTTAATGGTGTTAATAACAACGGAAACTGAGTAGTATTTTAAAAAGTAAATGTAAATGTGAGATAATTCCCGACAAAATGTCACGTTTCCTTTTTGAAAAATCAGCAAGTCAAATAGCAGAAATAGCTTAAACATATTAGAAAATGGTGTAATAAACAGAATTTCATCAAAAGTGACAGCTCTCAATTTTTTGACATTTGTAAATTCTAAATTGAATGAGAAAAATGAAATAATACTAAGCATAATACAATATTCTAGATTTAATTATAATTAGGAAAAAGTTAGTTTTGAGAGTACTTTTCATAGGCATATAGAATGAAATCTTCTGAAAAATAATATCACATAAACTCATATTATTTTCTAATATATAACTATTTTATATAAAAATCAAATTCAATGATCTTAAAAGCGAAGGATAAACCTCAAAATTTACGAATATAATGAGTGGGAATATAATGCTTATCTATCATAAAACCATATGAAATATCAATTTTTGCTTTACGCCTAATTTTTGACGACAATTAGCAAAAAATGTTAAATGTTAACACTCAGTCCATTTGAATATGAAAAATAAAATTGACTTTGATTAAATGTTTTTATTTATCATGCAATTCTTCTTGCGACCAAAGCTTTGAATAAAAGTTCAAAAAATAAGATAGCTTAAAAAATAATATACGGTAGTGTTTACTAATAGATGAATAGTATATAAATTCTATTAAAATGGATTTGATCCAAAAAAATATATAAAATTTGATCATAAATAAAATCGTTTTAAATTACTTCTTCATTTAAATTATAACAATTATTTTTGGTTTATATTTTTTTGGATCAAATCCATTTTAATAGAATTTATATACTATTCATCTATTAGTAAACACTACCGTATATTATTTTTTAAGCTATCTTATTTTTTGAACTTTTATTCAAAGCTTTGGTCGCAAGAAGAATTGCATGATAAATAAAAACATTTAATCAAAGTCAATTTTATTTTTCATATTCAAATGGACTGAGTGTTAACATTTAACATTTTTTGCTAATTGTCGTCAAAAATTAGGCGTAAAGCAAAAATTGATATTTCATATGGTTTTATGATAGATAAGCATTATATTCCCACTCATTATATTCGTAAATTTTGAGGTTTATCCTTCGCTTTTAAGATCATTGAATTTGATTTTTATATAAAATAGTTATATATTAGAAAATAATATGAGTTTATGTGATATTATTTTTCAGAAGATTTTGTGTTCTTCTTCAAAATTTTATTTTTTTATTAAAAAGAATCTTTACAAAATATACATTTACTTTAATTAATATTTAAAAACGTGCTCTATCAAAAGTTCCAAAAATTCAATATTTTAGCTTTTCTGAAGTGTCACTTTTGATGAATTTATGTTTACAACACTAGAGCACTCTTTTTTTTTTGAAAGGAAAAAAAATCCCGAAATTGGGAAAACCAGAAGATATTAGCATTTCGCATTTCATAATTTCTAATTTGTACAGGAAGCTTCAACAAAATGAATTATTTTACATTCCAAAATTGATTATCAATAGAGAAAGTTTCTATCCATACTAAAATGCATGTTATCATTATGCTTAGTGTGTTTATATCTATTATTACCAAATGAGCATTTAGACTTTGTAATTATTTTGAAAAATAGTGGGAAATTATGCGAGTTTTGATCGTCTAGTAATGGACTTTATAAATTATTTGGTTCATAACTGCTTAATTCAATGTTTTATTACTTTTAATATTTTATGAAAAATATTCTTTATTTTAACAAACAGTAGTCACATTTCAAGTGATGTATAGCATAACAAACATATTAATTGCATGTGAAGCTAAAAAAAGTCGGTAATAAAGTCGATATTAAGTTAGTTATTTTTCTTGAAATTTTTGTTGTTATTGTTGTTGTTATTGTTACGGTTGTTGCTTTTATTGAATTTATTAGGGTTTTTACCTTTATAATTACTAGTATTTTGTTGATTTCTGTTGTCGGCCTGCCCAGATGGGTTCTTATGATATGAGTTGGGTGCTTTTGCGTTAGTGTTATTGGCATTAGCTGGTTTGGCTGTATTTTTAGCCATTGTTTTTTCTCCATAAGCAAAAAATGGGAATTCAAATCCAGGATCGTCATTTCTAGCAAATCTTTGAGGTACAGACTGCATTACATAAATCTGATTGGTAAATTCTAATATATCTGTTGGCTCTTCATCAAATGAAAAACCGCATGGTTGTATGTACTGTTCTTCTGTAGGATAATGTAAAAAATGAAATGATTCCTCTTCTTCTATTGGTGCTACTTCGATTTGTAGACTATTGATAAAAGATTCAATATAAAAATGTTTAGACAACTCTGAAATATTAATAGATGTATCTTCTTCCTCTGTTTCACTGTTGAACAAATGTTTGTTCATTGAATTCCAGAAGATAGGATATCTTTCCACTAGATTTTCATACATTTGTCACTTTTTCGTTAGGTGGAGCTTATAAACGAATGTGCAAAAACAAAAGACAATTCACTTGCATCGAAGAGCCATATATTCGCAGTTGAAGTATCTTGATGCAGTTACTTGAGATTGATCTTCTTGATTCTTATTTGTGCTTTCATGCTTCATTGAAATTGAAATAAAGTAATAAACAAATACAAATATTTAGAGAATATATATAAACAATAACAAAACATATATATTAGAATTCAAATTTGTGCATTTCGTTAGCAAGAAGCAAATGGTGAGCAGCAAGTTGTTTAACATCAGAGTCGAATGGTTCTTTCTTTCGTAAAGAGTTTCTCGATATTTGAATGTCTTTAATTTTCCTTGCAATTTCCGCAGTGTTATTTTTAGCAGTAATTAGAGCACGAGTGATTTTGATTTTATCTTTCAATGTTTGTTCTCTGAAATTCTTTGGTAATTGCTGCAAAGTTCGTAAAGTATCTTGGTAAGGTTGTGGAAGTAACTTTGGATCTTCATCAGCAACTGCGAGCATGAGAGCACCGTCAGCAGTTTCTGAAACTGGCGCAGGTCTTAAATATTTAGCTAGTATATCTTCATAATCTGAAACTTTTTGCATCTGATCTGCCAAATCTCCTTTAACAGCATACACTTTTTTAAGTTTTTGCTCTGTGTCTTCGTCTTTTGTCTCTTCGAAAGATTGCTTCAAATAACGAATTTCTTTCACAAGAGAATGGTTGTATTCGCGAGCTGCTACCAGATCATGATTGCATTCAAGAATATACGTAAGCATTTTCTTGGCCTTTTCTGATGCGTCATTTAATAATTCCGATTTTTTCATGATTAAATCATTTCTTGAGTTAATTTTTGCATTATACGAATCTATTTCTTTCAAAAGCTCTTCATGTTCTTTCTCAAGTTCCATTACACGTTCCTGCAAAGCGGCAATTGCTGCGATTGCGGCTTTTGACGCTTCAGGTTCCATTTCTGGAAAGACGTTAAAGTTATTTGAATTTTTGAATTTTGTTTAAAACTTAAAACCAAATTGAGAATCTAATAGAAGACATAAAATAATTCATATGTACCGCTATTTTTATTTGGAAAAGCCTCAAAAAAAATCAGATTTTATAAATTTTGAAAAAAAAAGATATATTTTTTTAATAAGTAAAAATTGAAAAATAATTTTTTTAGAAAATCTTGTGAGAAAGAATCCTTTCCATTTACTCACATAGTGCGCATTTTCTCATTTTGAGGACGGAAAATGCCTTTTTGGAATGGCAATCCGGTCTCTCGCCTACAAAATACCTAGGACTACAAGTACATTACTTATGGCAAGATTTTTACGAGGTCCCTCATCGAAAGAGAAATATCGGAATACTCTACCTAAATTGATCATAACAAATTCCTGATTCTTCAGAAACAAAGGAACAGTAATTAGAGTATTTTAAGACAATGTTCCTTATGAAGCTTCTCATTCGATGAGAGACCTCATAAGAAACAATTTCTATTCGAACTCATTTACATCTTTGCGGTTTAAGGGATAATACTTTACATATATGGACAATAACTAATAGCCAATATCCCAAGAAGTGCAATATCCATGAAGTTGTTGCAATTTTCCCCAAGAATTTTCTATCTTTCAAAATTTCGAAGTTTATAATTAAAAATTTTAAGTTTCAAAGGCAAATATGTTAATACATAACCTAATCAATCAATTTTTTTTTCTGAAATTTTTGAAAACCTTTCGCTCCGATTATTCGCGAATATTGTTTCTGCATTATTAACAATATGATCAATAGTTTGATCGAAATTTTTCAAAACAATTAATTTTGACATTTCAATTTTACTCAATGAATTCCAGACTTAATCCGTATCAAGATGATCCATGCTCTAACCCATATGCAGATGAGTATGCTCCACCACAAGCAGTTTCTACTACACAACAATATCCCGAACAACAAAACATTTCAAATGATAATTCAGTTCCTAAAGCAGATAGCTCTAATTATGAATATCCAAATAATTCTATTTATGAAATGGCCAATCCTCCACAACTTCCCCCAACTTATGCACAGCAAGGATCCTTTAGAAATACAGGATATCATCGCCAGATCGATATAGATGAGCAACAAAACCAAGAAGAAGATCCTGATGATGTAAATCCCGATGACTTACCAGTTCCAAATGCCAGGGTTTGCATTTTACTCACTTGTTTTTGCATCCCCATAATTGGGCTTATAATTTGCTTGTATTCACATGGTACATGGCATCCAGTTTTTGCCAAGGCATGCAAAACTTATACATTATACGGCTTTGTTATTTGGGGAGGAATTATAATTTTAAGTCAATTTTATAATTTTCACCTCTAGATTTTTAACGAAGGCTTCCTATTTTTGAAATTTCATCCAGTTAGTTGCTATGCAAACTTATTCCAAATCATTTTTTATTGCAAAACACTCACAAAAAAGTTTATATTTTGATTTTTTTTATGAAAATCAAAATTCAGTATTTAATTACTCGATCAATCAAATTACACGACTTTACAAATGTGCCTCACGACAATTATCTGAAGAATTTCGAACATTTCATATAGAAAGATATCGAATCAATATTACCTTAAAATTACCAAGAATATCATCATGCCAACAGATGAGAACACATGATTACGCATCAGTTTATCAAAAATCCTTTATTATCTCTTCTTTTTAGATATCAACTTATTTGAACCATTTTATCGATACTTTTGAGCTTCAACATTAAAGAATATGTCAATGTATCTTTAAAATTTCTTTAGTTTATCAAATAATATTATATTTCAACTTAATATTTAATTCTAACAATAAAATCAGCGCACTTTTGAATCAACAATATATGCTACATATTACTAAAGTCTATTGTTACTTAAATAACTCATAAGTCTTGATATTATTTTGATGAACTAGTTTTCTTAAAAATCTTCGACTAGTTATATTGTTAAACAAATTTATTCATATATTATACTGTTAATATTTCAAAATACAGTTTTTTTTGGTTTTATATAAAATATAGATTTCTTTACTGATTGGATAGTATTCGAATAATACATTCCTAATAGTAACAAATTTTGATACACATTGCATATAGATTGTTTTTATTTTTAAGTTTTTGCGAATATTTGAAGTTGATTCTCATGAATTCATCGATTTTCATATATTCCATCATACATAGATAATAAAATAATAGCGATCATTTATCGTGTTTTTAATAAAATACTCTTTTATTTGCATTGATTAAATTAAAATTCCTTGGAGTTCAAATGCAAGCGGAAGAACACAAAAGAAATTATAGAGAAAAGGTAACAAAGGCAGGAAAAGTTTGTTGATAAAGCGATATAAAAACAATAATTGAAAAAATTCATTTTCATCGTGCTTTCTAGCTTATTTTTGCCAGACTAGAGTTAACTAGTTAATATATTTCTCGTATAAAGCCTCCTAGCAATCCAAATACCTCCTAATGATAATATTTTTTTGCTCGTCGTTACTTTATCCATTTTTGTGGTTTCTGTCAGGATTAACTTCAATAGTCGACACAATAAATTTCATCATTAATATCTCGTTTGGCCATTCGATCTAACAAATTTTTTTGTAGCCTCTCAATTTTTTTGATTGAAGAAAAAAAAATTTTTATTACATAATGAAGCCTTTAACACTCAGACTGAACAATGATGGCGGAGTTGAGATCGGCATCATCCGTATCTCCGCTCCCGATCACACTCTAAACGTCGTTGTTCCAATCGGTACAGATTTTCATTCCCCGACAACAATTCTTGAAACCAATCATCCATCTAAAACAGCTAAAACTCAGACAATATCTCAGAGTAAGGATTACAGCTGCATGGAGGATATTGTGTTTTCAATTCCACTTACGATTCCTGGTGCATTTGTTCTCAAGTTGAAGAATGCAACCAATGTCGGACCAGCAGTCCATTTTATCGTTGACCCAGTCATTACTATTAACAATAAGAAGGTTCCTGCAAGTGGCTTAAACATACAAACAAATTATGGGCGCTGCATCGGTACTCTCGATAAGTGGCTTGAAAATTTAACGCCAATTTCCAAGATCGGATACAACATGATCCATCTCCCACCTTTCCAAGAACTTGGCCACCATTCTCACTACTCTATTAAGGACCAACTCCAAATCAGCAAATACCTTCTTCCAAAGGGCTTTGATAAGTCCAAGGCCTGGAATTTATTTACGAAAACAGTCAAAGAGATCGAATCTAAGCTCAATATCGTTTTTATGGTTGATATCGTTCTCAACCACACAAATCAAGATTCTCCACGGCTCTCTGACCACCCAGAAGCCGGCTACAACGAAGAGAACTCTCCACACCTTATTCCAGCAATTTATCTCGATAATCTCTTAAACGAGCTTTCCAACGAGATCGCAGCTGGCAAAGTCGAGAATCTTCCACCAGATCTTCCAGCATCCAAGCGCGACGAGCTCTACAACTTCCTTCGTAAAAGAATCTTGGAAAGTGACTTCGCTCGCTTCTTTACAATTGACGAGAAGAAGGCAATCGAAACATTGGCCAACTCCGACGATTCCAATCTCACAAAGAGCATGGAGATGCTCCGCATGAGATCATTAAACTACGGATCTCCACAGCGCCTCAACATTCTCCGCACACGCGGTGTCATCAATGAGGGAACATACAAGATGGACTCGATCCATATCGATAACAGCTACGCAATGGCACTTTTCAAGTTCCCTGGTCGTACTGATGAATCTCGCCTCCACGAGTTCGAGCTTGCCATCAAGACAATCAACGCTCCTTTCGTACAGCATTTCGAAAACCTCGTCAACGATGTTGTTACTGCAATTGTCAACGGATTCTGCTACAATCGCTACGATCCAAACGGTCCAAAGCTTGGCCCTATCACAGTCAAGACACCAATCTCATGGCGCTACTTCACACCAATTACAGCCTTCAAAGGAACGAAACAAGAAAAATTATTACATCTCGCCAACAACGGATGGCTCTTCGGTGCCAAGCCAACAGAAGATTTCATCTCCAAGAACAGCGAAGCATACTTACGCAGACAAGTCGTCATTTGGGGCGATTGCGTCAAATTACGTTACGGAGACAAGCCAGAAGACAATCCATGGCTCTGGAGCTACATGCAGAAGTACGTAGAGTCAGTTGCCCGCGTTACTCATGGCATCAGACTCGACAATGCCCACTCAACACCATTAAACGTCGCAGAGTACTTCATTCAAAAAGCCCGTGATGTAAATCCAAGCCTGTACATCATGGCCGAACTCTTTACAGGCGGCGAAGATGAAGATATCAAGTACATCAACCACATTGGTATCAATTCCATTCTCCGCGAGGCCTTCCACAACCTAGCACCCGACAAACTCTCCCACATGCTCTGGTTATCCGGTGGCCGCCCTGTTGCCGCTATCGATCCTCTCGATACAGAATCAATATTACGTCCACTTCGCCAGATTCCAGGTGTTATCTTCGATCTTACACACGACAACCCCACACCATATTTCGACAGGTTGTCAGCCGCCGCAGCCATCACAATGGCCTCATCACCAATTGCTACAACACGAGGATTCGACGAATACCTTAATTTCAATCCATCAGTTGTTGAAGAGTTCAGAATCTATCCACACACAGACAAACCAGTTGGCATCCAAGCCGCCAGACTCTTCTTCAACGAGTTGCACACAAAAATGGCTGTTAATGGATTGGATGAACTCATGGCTCACTACCACGGAAATCTCCTTTCTCTCTTCAGATACAACTCTCACACAGGTGTTGGAGTATGGATGGTCACAAGAACATCAAATGACAACTGGGTGAATGAGTTAGAGTGTCTTGCTCCAATAAAGAACTTGATTTTCGAGGCAAGAACGGCATCAGTCAAATACAATGATTCGACTGAAGAAGAGATTATTCCAGGAGATGTCGATGTAGAAATCAACACTAATTTCAAGAAGATGAAATTCTGCGAGATCAGAAACAACTCACATTTAGTTCTCAACGATTTCCCTGTTGGCGCTGTTGTTGCTTTCTCAACACAACTCCCTCAGCCACAGCTCCAACTCCTCAAGGACTTAGAAGTGAGAAAACTCGCTGATGACTTAGTCAAATGGACATCACAGCTTTCTTTCGCTGATCTCTCAATCCTCATGTTCAGATGCGGTGCAGAAGAAGGCGCACAGATAGGAACAGGCAGCTACTCATTCCCTCAGTACGGACCATGTTTCTATGCTGGTACACAAGGTATTTTGACTGCATTTGATTCATCGAAAGACATGGGAAGTCCGATCTTCCAGAACATGAGAGATGGAAACTGGTTATGTGACTTCATGATCAAGAGATTGTATCAGGCACCACATCTCATTCCAATTCTCAACTTCATGAGAGGAAAGCTTGATAAGATCATCACATTGCCAAGATTCACAATTCCTAAGTACATCGACAGATTGATCAGAGCTCTCGACATCTTCGGAAGAGAACAACTCGTCAGGAACATGTCCAATTTTGTAAAGAATGGCGATGATTTCGTTCAATCACTCGCTTTCTCAAGTGTCGCTTTGTACGGCCCAGTCAGAGATGCTCCTTTGATTAACTCTACACTCTCAAAGATATTCGATGACACGTTAGTTGAGAGACAGGATTGTTGCTTGGCCGCTGGTTTACCACACTTCTCAAGCGGATACATGAGATCGTGGGGCAGAGACACATTCATCTCTTTGAGAGGCATCTTCATGACAACAGGAAGATTCACTGAAGCACGCGATCACTTGATTGCATTCGGTGCTTGTTTGAGACATGGTTTGATTCCAAATCTCCATGATTCATGTCTTAATCCACGCTACAACGCAAGAGATGCAACATGGTGGTTCTTGCAAGCACTCCAGGATTACGCACTCATGGCTCCAGACGGAAAGGAAGTTTTCACATGGAAAGTTCCTCAGCTGTTCCCAACAGATGACCAGCAGCAGTTCGAGAGAAGATGGGCTGGAAAGCAGACAAGACCAATCAGAACAATGGCCGATGTTGTCATGGACATCATGACAAGACACGCAAACGGAATTCACTTCGTTGAATGGAATGCAGGAACAAAGATTGATTCCGTAATGGTCGAACACGGCTTCCACATCAATATCGTCACTGATTGGTCGAATGGCTTCATTCTCGGCGGAAACTGCGACAACTGCGGCACATGGATGGACAAGATGGGATCATCAACATGGGCAAAGAACAGCGGTGTCCCATCAACACCAAGAGATGGTGCTGCAATCGAAATCATCGGTTTGCTCGCTTCAACACTCAGATGGCTCAGCGAAGAAAACAAGGCAGGAAGATTCCCATACGACGGTGTCAATGTTGAAGAGTCCGGAAAGAAGATTACTTTCAACGAATGGCACTCAATCCTCGCTGCAAACTTCGAGAGCTGGTTCTACATCCCAGCTGATGCTTCGGAAGATGACAAGTACTTCATCGAACACAGTTTCGTTTCTGTCAGAGGAATCTACAAAGATACTGTTGGCGCTTCAAACGAATTCGGTGATTACCAGTTCAGACCAAATGTTCCGATCGCTATGACAGTTGCTCCAGAGTTATTCGACCCACGCCACGCAATCCACTGCTTGAACTTGGTCGAGGAGAGACTCATGGGAAAGATCGCAATGAAGACACTCGATTCAGCAGATTGGAGATACAACCCTTACTACGAAAACTCAGTAGATAATGACAATTTCTACTCAGCAAAGGGAGCAAACTACCACAATGGCCCTGAATGGGTTTGGCCAACAGGCTACTTCTTCAGAGCTTCAATGAAGATGTCAAGAGGTGTAACACCAGGAATGACAAAGATGCTCGCAAACATCAAGTCATATTTGCTCAATTCTTGGGCTAAAGGTCTCCCAGAATTGACAAACTTAAACGGTGCTGTTTGCAATGATTCCTGCGTAACTCAAGCATGGTCTATCGCTGCCATTCTTGATATCCTCTACGACCACAATGGATACTCAAAGGAAGATGTTACAAAATGGTCAGCTGCAGAAAGATTAGATTAGACTTTTATTTTTTCGACTTTCTAACATTTTTTTTTCTTTATTTTAATAGAAATAAAATCATATATTTAAAACTTCTTTATTTTGAAACAAATCAATTTTAAATATAAATATTTATTGCAATACATCGTTGTTGTCGGTTCATCGTTTGTTTACATGAAATCTCCTTAGAAACACAGATTAAACACAAAGATTATAAATATATTTTATAATAATCTTAATTCATTTTTAGTTTATTTCATTCAAACCAATGATATCAACAAATGTTTTGTTTATTCGGTGATGTTTAATATAGGGTGTCCAAAGGTGCGTTTAGCACAGCGCTCTATATGAGACTATTAAAGGAGATATATGCTGATTATAAATATATAATAAAAAATATGAATATATGTATATGATGAGTAAGTTGTATTTTGGCGCCATGCCGGGATATAAAATGAATTTTGAGACAAGAGGCGGTTTCGCGGGAAATTTTGGCGGGATTTTTTTCATTTTTTTAATGAATCATAAAGAAAATATCCTCGCTCTTGCAAAAAAATGCAAAGACTGTAAAAAATCTACGAGACATTGGTAAAATGCTTCGGTATGGATGCTCCTAGCTATTCCACTGTAACGTATCATGTTAGGATGTATCACTTTATGAACAAAAAGGCGCCCATCATAAAAATTGACAAAAATCGCCGGATCAAAGAAAAATCAAAGCAATTCTTCAAGCGCTAGATGAAGACCCAAGAGCATCACTCAGAAGGATAGAGGAGATGACAAAGATACCACGTACAACAGTCAGTTATTATCTGCACAATTATTTGAACTACAAACTAGCGTATACACGTTGGGTTCCGCACAACCTTAATTCAGTTCAAAAAAAATCTAGAGTCCAATCTTCGAAAGAGCTCCTCTCTATATTGCGTGCGTATCAATCCAAGAAGTTTCGCTTTTTAGTAACAGGGGACGAGTCTTGGTTCCAATATGCAACAGAAGCCAAAATCATGTGGATCCCGAAGGATGAAAATCCGCAAACATTCCCGAAGAAAAAAATTGACACACCAATGATGATGTTGTCGGTTTTTTGGGGCGTGAATGGCATCATCGCAATTGATATTCTTCAAAAACCTAATACGATGAATGCTCAGTATCTAATTGACAATGTTCTTACTCAAATTATCAATTCTGATGAGTTTGAGAAATCCAAACAACAAAAACAAAAGTTTGCAATTCATTTTGATAATTCAAGAGTTCACAAAAGTCATAAGGTAATGAATTACTTGGTGGAAAACAATGTCAAAGTTGTTCCAAACCCAATTTATTCACCTGATATTGCACCCTCTGACTTTTATTTATTCGGCACGCTAAAAAAGAGAGCTGAAGGACGCGAATTCGCGAGTCCAGATGATCTTGAAAATTTTGTAAGAGAGCAATTTGAGCAATTTTCTCATGATGATTTAAAGCGTGTCTTTGAAGCCTGGATCGATCGCTGCGAACGCGTGATTGAATCCAATGGTGATTATATTTAAATAAACTTTATATATATGTAACTTGTTTATTTCTATTCGCAGTATTCAGGTTTGTGCTAAACACACCTTTGGACACCCTATATCTAATTCTTTTACAAATACTTCCTCTCACATAGTGTTGATATTAATGCAAAAAATAACAACGGAAAAACAGCTCTTCATTTAACATCAGATAATTTAAATAAAGAATTAGTTGAGCTACTTCTTTCGCATGGTATCAATATCAATGAAAATGGTAAGTGTGGACAAACAGCTCTTCATAAAGCAGCATTATTTAAAAGTAAAGAAACAGCCGAACTTCTTATTTCACACGGTGAAAATATCAATGAAATAAAATTATAATGAAGAAACCGCTCTTAATATTGCACTAGATCATAATTATTCAAAAACAACAGAACTTTTTATTTCACATGGAGTAAAATGTTCCTATTTGATACTTCACACGTAAAATGATCTTCTTTCCGAATTTTTTTCTTGTTGCTACACAGAATGGTATTTCTTCGACGAGACCAAGTTTGTGATAGACATTTTCACAACATGAAATAAAAGGTTAGGCTACTTCTTTTCATTTATAATATACTCTTTTATAAAGAGCAATACAATTCCATTTTTATAAATCAAATATAAAGCATGATTAATTTCATTTACTAATATGAAAAATCATCCTTCCATATTCTGAAAAGCTAAATAATCAGCTTTAATAGTGATTGGAGATCGAGAGAGGGTCAAAGTTGCTATTTGATAAACAGTGGGATTGCTGCTCTAAGTCCTAGGTTCGAGACACATTGGCTTCATTTTTCTCTTTTTTATTGACGTAAACTATTCAATTTTTGTGTTCTCCATTCAAATTTCAGAATTTTTTTTGCAGATTTCACGCTACATTCGAAGTTACCTTTTGTAACAACCACCACTGCCTACGAAAGACGAAAGTGTGTCACGATTTCACCCGGAAATCCGACAGTTGTTTAAGAGTATGCACTTTTGTCACCTACTCATTGGAGATCCAACAATTTTTTTCAATTTTATCTGATCAAAATTTCAGATTTCTAGAGAAAATTATACTAATTTTGATTGTTTTATAACTAACTTTGAAATTATTTTTACTAAAGCTTTGCATTACAGATCAACCATTGAACCAATATTGACGTTATGGCTTCATAATCATATAATTATCATTTTCATAAGATTTCGAACCATTCGATATGATCAATGTCCCAAAATTAAGATTTGGAAAACGATGATTGAACGCATTTCATTTACAGATTCAATTGAAATCGAGAGTGTGCCGGTCAAAGGGTAAAGAAGTTTAAAATGATTAACTAAAGATTTGCTTTTTTTTTATTGATAAATAAAAAAAAAATAATATCAAAACTAAAAAACAAGATTACATATGAGAGTGAACAACCTTTGATATTGGTTCGCAGAAGTCTGTGCAAATTCCGCGAACACCCATCTTCAACTGTTCCAAAACAGTTTTTTCTTCATAATTTCCTTTTCCATAAGTGAAAAGGGCGTAGTTCTGGTTAACAATATTGGTGGCCATGTCTTTGTATTTTAGAACCAATTCACTGTCAAGAACGAATCCATTAATTCCGAGATCCTTATGAGCATTGATGCAAGCCATTAATCTGCTCATTCCAACAATCTCTGGTTCGAAATCTTCGACACATGAGAGCTGAAGTACCGGGAACTTGTTCTGTTTGAGTTTTAACATAATTGCGGTCATTAGGTCGAACGTTGAGAAAATAATGTTCCTGGAACCGATATACTTATCAATAACGGAAAGAACCGAATCAACAAACATGTTGCGTTCAGGATAAGCAACCTTATTAAACAATCTTATCTCTTCGTGAATTGCTTTAACTTCGATATCCATGGGGGAACTCTCTGGAACTTGAGTAAGGATTTCTTGCAATGATGGAATTGGAGTTTTATAGTTTGATTCAATTCCCCAATTATGAAGCTGTTCTAATGTTAATTGATAAACAGCATACTCATAGATTCCGTTCTCTTCTGATACTGGCTTTTCATTTGGAATCGATTTGTTGCATTTAATAGTGAAATCGTGGAAAATTACAGGGATTTGATCTTTGGTGAACTGAACATCTAACTCAATCATATCAGAACCATGTTTCATCGCGTGATTAAATGAAGTAACTGTGTTCTCCAAGATAGATGGAGAAACTTTGTTCATTCCGAATCCACGATGTCCGATACATAGCAAGTTATCAAATCCTAATTTGACATGTGCATACATATTGGATATATTGGATGTTACAAGCTGGATATCAAAGCTAGACCAATATTTTGATTTTGCACCATCTTCTAAAAACACTGGACAATGATAAAATCCAACGTTTTGGAGTTCTGAATATAAAAGAATATATCCCTTTTGATTTCCAATTGTGCAAGGAACTTTTAATTCGAAATTATTAGGACGTTGGTAAAAAGTATAAATTCCAATGAAAAATGGATTTGTACTAAATGTCTTGAGACCTGGGATCGGTACTTCACATACGAACTCGCCTGAGCGTTCAGTTTCGACAAACACAACAGAGTACATTGTATTATGTGAATAATTTGAAATCTCTCAGAAAAGAAAAAATCGGTTTGATAAATACAAATATTTCACAATTATTACTAGATCAATATAACATTAGAAAGTTTCTTGGATAATTATTTTTGAATGCGTTTTGAAAGTTTTTAACGATAGTAAAAATATTACAATCTTTTGGCTAAAATCATACTCCTTATAGATCTTTTAGGTAGTAGCCGATCAAGAATCGATCATTAAAATTTCAAATTCTCAATACATTTTTGGCGGTTGAGATTTTATATTGAGAGGTTTGTTGATTAAATGGAAATTTGCAACATTGGGTTGTTTTAAAAATTATTCATAAACCATTTGAATCAGAAATTTCTGAAGGCATCTTTTCAATGTGACTTGATCCACTAAGAGTAAAAACTTGTTATTTCGTTTACACATATATCAATACGCCTAAATATCACAAGATATAAATGGACGTTAATTTTGAATATGCAAAAATTTTTATTAATTTCTTAAGAGTAATATAAAATAGAGAAGTTGTAGTATTTAAATGACTAAAATTTTTTACAAATTTCTTTGAATCTGTTTTTGGGTCTCGTAGTATCTTCATTATATTAGTAAATATAAAACTTCTGATGATTGTCAAGTATTTGTGACATATCCTTCTTGAAATAAATCCGAAATCGAATCAATTTATTATAAATTATTGTTATTTTGCGTTTATTTTAGAAAGAAACTTTTAGATTATAATGTACTCACTATTGTGCTAAATATATTTTAACTCTCATTTGAATAAATTTCAATCTTATTTTATACTCATGAAAAGCTTTTAATTTGGGCGTATTTATGCTTGAAGTTACATGTAATTGAGAAGTATGCTATTACGCAAAATTGCATTTTTATCCTTGTGGTAGAGTAAAACTTGCTTCTGTAATTCTACACCTCAGTTAATTTAGGAGTCAATAGTCTTAGGTATATAATATATGATGTAAATACTATAGTGAGGATATAATTTCATTAGACAATATATAAGCAGAGTGCTATCTAGTACAGAATTTCGAATATATATAAAATCCAAGAATCGAATAATTATAGTGATGCGCTAATGGCTGTGGAATATTCTATACATACTTACATTTAACTAGAAGTATATAGAATGCATTTCCATTCTTTATAAATTAATTTCACGTTTTTTATTTTAAATATTGAAAACTTCAAGGAGGTAGTTTATACCATACTAATTTAGTATATTTTATTCAAATTAAGACATTTTGATTTATTGTTATTTTTTTAACCACAATTATGATGTCACATTACAATGTCAATCAAAACTCACTCCACTAGGTACATTGGTATCATGACATACATGCTGTATATAATTTTGATGATAAGATTAACATGCCGAGTAATTTCCATAAAAATATATCAAATATACAATATGATTCATTATGTAGATGCTTCCTTCATGAACATAAGATCAAAACTTCAATTTCTAATTTGGATATTCCAAAATAATGATCCTTGACTTGATTCATCTGAGAAATCACTTTTGAACATATAATCAGATATCAAAAGTGTAATAAAATTTCCTCTTTTGAAAAATTCGAAATTTTTAAGAGAAAAAGTGCCAAAACAATGTCGATTCTAAATTATAACGAAGATGATTCTTCCTATTCATATTATTCATATTCAGCATCGGATGATGATAAGGACAAGGAAGACTCAAGCAGTGATTTGTTTAGCGATGACGAAGTCGAAGATAAAAAGAAAAAACCGGCTCCTGACCAACCAAAAGAAGAAAAGAAAGAAACTAAAGAGGAAATACCAGATAATGATGGGTATGGCGGTATTATGTTTAATACAAAATCTCCAGCGCAACCATCTTTTAAATTGATTGCAAGCGACAGTGAATCATCATCAGATTCTGATATACCATTCACAAAACGGTTCATTCAACAGAAAGAGAGCGATAACAAAGAATCTAAAGCGAAAGATAAAAAAGAAAATAAGAAATCAGACAAATCAGATGAAAAGAAACATGAGAAAATACACGAGCCACCCAAACAACCTGAACAAATTACTCCGATTAACCAAAAACCACCAGAACAACCTAAAGCAGATGAATCGAAAATTAAACCAGTACAAGTTCCATTATCTAAATCAAATAGTAATACGAAATCCACATCAAGTTCGTCAGACCTAGTATTCCCTCCTCCAGTTGAAGAACTTCCTGGAGATAAACCATCAAAATCTCATTCTTCAACAGAAGGCCATTCTGATGAAATGAAGATCGGATTACCACCTCCTATCGAAGAGCTACCAGGGGAAGGCCAACAAAACAAAGATGACGAAGATTCAGAAGATCTCTTCCCAGAAGGCATTGAACAGGCTCCAGAGGTTGAAAACCCTCAGTTCATGGAAGGAGTTACCCAGCAAGCCGACGCCGACTTCGATGATAACATTCATCTCTTCTCAGATATTTCGGACTCAGATGACGACATTAACAACTACAATGTAACGAAACCAGCACCTCTAGCAAAGACTACATTAGATACCCGTAGGCAAATAGCTCCTTCTGGCTCTCTTCCGATTTTTGGACTCAATAATACTTTACCTGTTAATAAATTCGCACAGCCATTCATTCCACCAGAAGCTCAGCCAAGAGCTGTTAACTGGTTGGAGTTCCAACTCCAGGATATTCCTAATTACGATCCTTCCCCTTATGATAAGATGTTAACTACGGAATTTACTACTGAATCACTCCTTGCATACGCTAAGCAGTAATTTATATATGTTTCGTTATCAATTTTTTTAGTTTTGAATTTCATCATTTAAATATGTGTCTTTATACAAATAAATATAATATTTTTATTACTTATCATTTATCACTTGAATTAATCAACTAATTTTAGTTCTTAAAATGATAAATAATATGAAACTAAATAAGGAAATTGAAATTGGATATATCAAACATGAGCAAATGCTCATTTATTACTAAGTTCATATCTATTTGTGTAATTTTGCATTTTTTCATAAATCAAATTTCTCATAATTAAAATATGACCTGCATTCATGAAATATCAATATGGAACAGAAAATTTATTGCAAAAGGAATACAATGACATATATTCATATATAAATAATATGTTGAGTATTAAATAATGATTAATATCAGACTAAATAATCAATTATAATACATGATATACATCTAATACAATATGTAGTAACATGTACTAAATGGAGTTATGGCTAATATTAGTTATAAATCAGAAAAATAGCTATTTAGAAAAGTCTCAAACGATAGCACAAATTTTGAGAATCGGTTTTCTAAAGCATTCAATTTTGAAAGAAACACTTAATTTTTAGCCTCGGCTAGATTTTAAATTTGACAAACAAAAACAATAAAAGTGTATCATATATCAATTACTGCAAGAGAATCAAATCTAATAATGATTGGTTCCTTAGCGATATCACTTTTTTTGGCCACAAAATCGACTTTCAATATATCTCAATTATTTTGAATTCAAATAATTTGAATACTTCAAATGATATCACTTTCATTGATGAGTTTAAAGAACGCCAAGGTTCTCATCCTTAATGCAGGATTCAATCATCCACCAATGGCTAAAGGAAAACTTAACGAGGCTCTTGCTAATGATATTGAGAAGTATCTCAAGACTAAAGGCCATGAAACTAAGATTACTCATATGGAACAGGGCTACAAAGTTGAAGAATAGATCGAAAAGTTCAATTGGGCTGATGTAATCATTGTTCAGACACCAACATGGTGGCTTGGTTTCCCAGGTCCGGCTAAATCATACTTTGATTCAGTTCTTAGCGGATATTCAATGAATCCAAACAAGAAAGATGGGAAGAAGGCCATGATCTCAGCGACTTTCGCTGCAACAGTTGAAACAATGTCTGATCCAAAATCTGCATATCAAGGATCGGGCGCCGAACAAGTTTGGTGGACATTATACCAGAATTTCTTCTTCTGTGGCATTAGAAAACTTCCAATCGTTACAAGTAATAACGTCTTGAATCCAAACTTCAAGTTTGATGAAGCAGTCCACAACATCCATGCTCATCTTGATAAAGTTTTAGCATAAACAATTAAATAAAACCAAAATATGCGATTTTTTTTATTTTGGGAAGATAGTACTTACTTCTGAATCACTCCTTGAATACGCTAAGCAGCAATTTATATATATTTCGTTATCAATTTTTAGTTTTGAATTTCATTTATACAAACGAATGCAACTTTTTTATTACATATCATTTATCTTTTGAATTAATCAACTAATTTTAGTTCTTAAAATGATAAATACCCTTATAATCCGACAATTTAAGTTTTTTTGGACCCCGACTTTTGAGGATATTTTATTTTCGTTTGAAAAAGTGACAAAATTATCATTGTCGTCTAAAAAAAGAGATTTTTCCAGGCATGTTTTGGTACCTAAATAAAGGAGAACATCAATGCAATCTATGTATATCGTGTGCAAACACGCATTATGTATGGGGTGGCTCTTTATTTGGCTAAAAATTCTATATTTCGAAAATTTGCATTGTCGTCTAAAACCGCCAGACGACAATAATAATACTCCTTGATTTTTTCCCCTTATTTTCACTTCCATGGCCATGAGCTAAATTTTGAGAGCTGAGAATTTTGCAATCATATAGAAAATACTTAATTTATTTTGTCTATGATGCTTTTAAGAATATGTAGAGGTTGTCGAGATTTTAATTTCTTATTTGCTCATTACCTTTAAATTGAATTTAAAATATTTATTTAAATATATATGGAATGCATAATATACTGTCTTATATTACGAAAGTGCCTGGGGGATGAAATATAAGAGATTTCATGATCAATAGTTATTCAATGTAAGTTTCAACAAAAGGAGGATTATAATCTGTTACCATTGTTTATCTCAATGATAATTGAAAGGTATACATACAGAAAATCACTCATGTACCTAGATATATTTTTGTATTGTATAACAAAAGTTATATTGGGAATGATAAATTAGGTTGAAAATAAAAAATTTGAATTTTTTTATTATTATTATTTGTCTGATGATGCTGGCTTATTTTCTGATTTTGATGAATCATCAACTCAATTGTCTGCTTTATCTCCATTTGATTCTGTTTCATCAAGTAGATCTGAAAATATTTTCGGAATTATATATGATAACGATGATTTGTTGGTCTATATTAAGAAAACATATATTTGCAAAGATGTGTGCTGAGAACTTGAAATTGCAAACTATATATACTTGATAAACTTATTATGTTGAATCAAGACGTTTGTTTTCCTGAAATTTATAATATATATATATATATATTCACACGTCATCTAACATATTAAGCACTCTTATTAATAAATAAGGAAAAATTATAATAAAATAAATTTTAATGTTTAAAATTTAAGGATTGTTTGCTTGCTGGGAAACTTTTGAACTTGAACTGGAACTAGAAGCTTGATGTACTTGTGCATTCTTCTTTTTCTTTACTGCACAGACTATAGCAACAATAATAACTATGATTACTACTACAGCAGCAGTAACACATCCTATAATAATACCTAAAAAATTGGAATTTTTGCTTAAATCTATGGTATTGTTTCCATCAATAATATATTGAGGGTAATCTTGATAGTTTGAGATTATATAATCATCTACAAATGGTAAAGACCCATAATAAATATGGATAATTTTTTCCTCGATTTCATTAAAATATTCAATAGAATTATTATCAAAGAAATACACTCTTGTTGTTTTATTAGAACGCTTGATAGCATATAATTCCTGAGTGCTAGTCAATATAGGTTTCAAAGGCACACCATTTTTTGTTTGTTCTTTCTCATACCCGGTAAAATATCCGCCTGATGTGCATTGAACGAGAACTCTAATTTTTTCGCGAGGTCCATCATATTTCAATTTAAATCCATTTGAAAACTCATAATATTGTGTCGGATCTAATTTCGTAAATTTCTCTTTTTCGGAATTTCCTGCAATGTAGACTTCCTCGGTTTCATCTGTTATAAATGCGCAATGTGAACTATTATAAATGTATTCTTTTCCAGGTTTCATATAATATTCATTAATTGTATTATTTGTAGTTAATTCTTCGCTGAAATTAAAACTTAATTTTTCTAACGTAGCTCCACCAACACATTTGTATTTGTAGTCCAATGGAAGTTTGTCATTTCTTATATCTGCAATAGAATCTACATGATAGTAATATATTGTATCATTACTATTGTATAAATGAAATTGAAAGTCACTAATAATATATATATCCGGAGATTTATATATTCCTGAAGGAACATTATAACATATTCCGCTTGGATAATAGCTATCTTTTGAACAGAATATTTTGAACTTAACAAGTTTGTTCGATTTAAGTTGAATTGTAATTTCATTTCTATCAAAATAATATCCTTCATCTTTTGGCGCTACTGAAGAAGAAATAATTTCTAGATCAGTCATATCTGGAATGTATAAAGCTCCTTTACAAGAAACAGTAAGTGTTCCATTTATTTCCAGATTGTAGAATCCTTTATATAAATAAATAACATCATTGATTTTCACGATGTTATCTGTATTTGTGTTGATGTCAAAACTTTTAGTGATATTGTCATCACTATTAGCTTTAAGAACATTTAAATTTAATCCATTTGTTGTTGTACAACTATATAATCCATTTTCATTTTCTACCTCTAGTTCATTCTCTTTTGAAGTACATCTAATTGGGATTGTTGAAAGTGCCATTACTTGTTTATTTTCAGCAAATCTGTTTCCAGCATATTTGTTTTTGAATGTTCCATATTCAATGAAAACAAAATAATCTTCATAACCACGTGTTATTGCTATTAATTCATGAGTTCCGGATTTTGATGATACCAATTGAGAATCTATCACATTGAACAAGGAAGGATTCAAAATTGCTGGAGATCCGCACACATATGTTTGTTTTGTTGATATATTGCAAAAAGAGGTATAAATACCCAATTGACGACATACTTCATATGGATATTTCATATCATCTTCCAAATTTGTTATACGTTTATCATATGGATGATCAATTATTTCAGGTTTTAAGCTCGTATCAAGAGAATTAGCTTTAATTATATACTGATCGTTTCCAAGAAATCTAAATATAAATGCCTCGTTTTTCGGTATTAACCATTCATCTTTATCTCCTTCACATAAATTCTCAACTGAAACAAACATGGTAGAATCTGAATAAAATGTTACAGCAGTTGGACTATGAAAGTAACTGACTTCCAGATCCTTTGGATTGTGAATGATATCCCATAGATCAGGATCGAAACAATCTGCATAAATTAATTGAACATAGCTATCCTCATTTCCTGCAGGAAAATAAATAGCGTGAACCTCAGATATAATTTTTTGATAATCTGTTTGAACATCATTACGAATAATAATAATAATAATGGCTCTACTTGAAACATATATTGTTTTAGGTGATGTGCCTATTTTTATTAAGTATGTACCGCTAAAATACAAAGTAAAAGAGTCTGGCAATTTATCAACTTCTATAAATTTCTCATTATAAGGCGAATAAAAGTAAAAGTGAGTTACTCCTGGCAAGTAAATATCCTTGGAATTTACTATAGGGTGTCCAAAGGTGCGTTTAGCACAGCGCTCTATATGAGACTATTAAAGGAGATATATGCTGATTATAAATATATAATAAAAAATATGAATATATGTATATGATGAGTATGTTGTATTTTGGCGCCATGCCGGGATATAAAATGAATTTTGAGACAAGAGGCGGTTTCGCGGGAAATTTTGGCGGGATTTTTTTCATTTTTTTAATGAATCATAAAGAAAACATCCTCGCTCTTGCAAAAAAATGCAAAGACTGTAAAAAAATCTACGAGACATTGGTAAAATGCTTCGGTATGGATGCTCCTAGCTATTCCACTGTAACGTATCATGTTAGGATGTATCACTTCATGAACAAAAAGGCGCCCATCATAAAAATTGACAAAAAATCGCCGGATCAAAGAAAAATCAAAGCAATTCTTCAAGCGCTAGATGAAGACCCAAGAGCATCACTCAGAAGGATAGAGGAGATGACAAAAATACCACGTACAACAGTCAGTTATTATCTGCACAATTATTTGAACTACAAACTAGCGTATACACGTTGGGTTCCGCACAACCTTAATTCAGTTCAAAAAAAATCTAGAGTCCAATCTTCGAAAGAGCTCCTCTCTATATTGGGTGCGTATCAATCCAAGAAGTTTCGCTTTTTAGTAACAGGGGACGAGTCTTGGTTCCAATATGCAACAGAAGCCAAAATCATGTGGATCCCGAAGGATGAAAATCCGCAAACACTCCCGAAGAAAAAAATTGACACACCAATGATGATGTTGTCGTTTTTTGGGGCGTGAATGCATCATCGCAATTGATATTCTTCAAAAACCTAATACGATGAATGCTCAGTATCTAATTGACAATGTTCTTACTCAAATTATCAATTCTGATGAGTTTGAGAAATCCAAACAACAAAAACAAAAGTTTGCAATTCATTTTGATAATTCAAGAGTTCACAAAAGTCATAAGGTAATGAATTACTTGGTGGAAAACAATGTCAAAGTTGTTCCATACCCAATTTATTCACCTGAGATTGCACCCTCTGACTTTTATTTATTCGGCACGCTAAAAAAGAGAGCTGAAGGACGCGAATTCGCGAGTCCAGATGATCTTGAAAATTTTGTAAGAGAGCAATTTGAGCAATTTTCTCATGATGATTTAAAGCGTGTCTTTCAAGCCTGGATCGATCGCTGCGAACGCGTGATTGAATCCAATGGTGATTATATTTAAATAAACTTTATATATATGTAACTTGTTTATTTCTATTCGCAGTATTCAGGTTTGTGCTAAACACACCTTTGGACACCCTATATAATGTTAGATCCCCCATTTTTTGTTGAAAATCAAAATAAACTCTAACATCTCTTTGGTTATTGTTGGCAAGATATAGATTAGTTGGTTTTGAAAATGTGTGATAGTATTCATATCTATAAGGTTGGGTTGAAAAATGTGGGGCTTCAAAAAAACTCGTACATGCCTCAAAAATTGAGAGGAATGACAGATTTTCGACGATAGGTTGTGTAAAGTGAACGATAGGATGACAGATTTTTGACGATAGGATTGAGAAAGTCTATTAAAAAGTATTCAATTTTTGAGGCATGTACGAGTTTTTTTTAATGTACGAGTTTTCAACCCTACCTTATAAATCATTCAGGATCATTTGGACTACAACTTTTTGGTTAAATGTGTTTTTGAATTCTAAACCCCATGATAGATAATTTTTGAGCCCGAGATCCTTATAATTAATAACTGTAACATTATAACGATAACTAATATTAAGCGTTTCCCCTGGCATTACAGAAACTTCATGATAGCCATTAGAAATACCATCTCCAATATGAAGTGAAGATACTAAATGATACCAAAGAAGTAACATAAAGTAGGATTTATTCTGACTTTTTTTTATAAAAAAAATCGATACTCATAGTTTTGAAGATCAAAATAATCAAAATTTTCACACTAACTTTTTCCAAATTTGAGAGGAGAGCACGAAAAAATTTCCCAGTCGTATCTTAATCACCAACAATAAATCACTATCATAAACATAATTATAAGACAAATAAAACTTAAAGCATGAATTCTAAGTTTATTTAATTAAATTATCGGATTTTGAGTTATTGAATAGTGGAAAAATGATATACTTCATTTACAAAAGGTGTAATTTTATGATGAACATTTGAAAGGATTTCAATACTGCTCACAAAAATATACGTTTTATAATAAAATTTTTAGATCTCAACAAAATTTCGATTTTCATAGTTTTGAAGATCAAAATAATCAAAATTTTCACACTAACTTTTTCCAAATTTGAGAGGAGAGCACGAAAAAATTTCCCAGTCGTATCTTAAGGCTTCACTAACATGACAAAAATTAAAGTCCCTTGAGATATATATTCTATGATGTATATCAATGCTATATTTATCATTATTTTTAATTTTTATTGACCCACCCAAAAAAAAGCCTTCTTCCACTAACATGAGTTATAACGTGCTTTTTCTGAAAATGATAGACTAGGATTAATATATATCGTAGAGCATATTTTTCATCTTTTTAAAAATTTTGAATATTTTTTGTCATGTTAGTGATCCCTTAATCACCAACAATAAATTGTTATCATAAACATATAATATGCTTAAATAATTCCCTTATAAGCAGTATTTCTGCCTGATTTTGATCATTATCGAACTCATTTTTTAATTCCTTGTCCTGTGGTATTGGAAAACTTCAAATCGTTACAAGTAATAATGTCTTGAATCCAAACTTTAAGTTTGATGAAGCAGCTCACAACATCCGTGCTCATCATGACAAAGTTTTAGCATAAACAATTAGAGATATGCTTTATTATTTATTTTGGGAAAATATCATATGATTATCTAAAAACCGATACAATTTTCCAATCTTGAGATGTTACATTAAAAGTGCGATTAATGTATATATATCTAATTATATGAAAACTAATGCAATTATCAATTACTTTCTGTAATTAGCATAAAACACTCTAAAAAAGAATTTTAAGTGAGTATCATAATGTGACAAATCCACTGTAAACTTCCTGTCAATAAATATTTTTGAAGATATTTAACATATTTTTTTACAAACATAAGATAAGAAAAAATAAAGAATCATTTTTGATTTGGTACATATAACAAACCTAACAAATCAGAAAAAACAGTCATTGCTTCAGGTGGAATTTCTTCTTTCGGATTAATAATTTCGATAGCACCAGCAATTCTTCCATTTGCTTTGTAAGGGAATGCAAGTGTTTCTTTCACTTCAACACCGCAATTTTCATACATTTTTTCATTAAAATTCTGTTCTCCTTTTTTAGTTCTCAATGTATCTCTATAATTGAATGCAAGACCAGCAGCACATTCTTCAAACTTGCATGTTGCACCACCAGGTGTCAAAGTTATATTTCTTCCATCGAAAGATGCAACGTAAAACAAGTCAGAACCAAACAATTTCATTGAAGCTTCTGATAAAACTTTCCAAGGTTCATTTCCTTTTTCTGCAGATGATTCCAAAGCTTTGCAAGCGACTTTTGCAAGTCCTGTTTGAACGCTTGTTGTCTTATCATCACGAGATTGTCCATCTAACCATGTTGCAACTCTTAAAACATCAGTAATAATTGGAGAAAGTGATGACAAAAGAATTCCATCTTCAGGAGTAAATGTTGAAAGTTCTTCTTTACCTCTAAGCGTAACAACAAACAATCTTTGCATGTACTGCATTGTAGTAGATAATATTGATCTAGAAAGAAGTTCTCCATCGATTTTTTCATTGAAAAATGCAAAATTTTTCTCATATTTGTCAGGAATAAAAATTGTTGATTTATTTTTCGCACTTTCATATGAAACTCCTCCTTCTTCCTCTTTAAACGTCTGCCCATCTGTTAGCCTTGTCAATGTATTTGTTTTAGGAGAGAATTCGTATACATCTGCTGCTGTACATTTGAAGTTTGAAACGAAAAATTGAATCAAAGTTTGCGAAGTTGTTTTGATCGAACATCTGTCGATTCCTTTAAAGATTTGTGTAATGTTGACAGGTATTCCTTTTATTTGTGGCTTTGCAAACTTCTTTTCGAAGATTGTCCTGATAATTTTTAGAGTTTCTGTGTAATAAGGAGTAAATTCGGTTTCACTTTCTCCAATTGCACGTTTGAAACCAATGAATTGTAAAATACCAACAATTTGTTTGTTTTCGGAACGAACTGGCAACAAAGCCATCGTTTTGAAGCCGATAACAATTGATGCATCAAATTCTTTGGAAAAATATGGAGCATCAAGGCAATCTTTGTAAAATATATCGTCTGCTTTTTCAATGGCATTGTTAAGAATTGATTCTCCTCTAGCAACAACGATTTTATTCTTTTCTGAATATAAATACTCTGCATTTTCATAGCAACGCCAGTAAATAACTCTTTCTATAGGTATTATTGACAGTAATTTCGTTTCAAAGTCGGAAATTTTTGTACATTGGTTGATTGTTGTAAATAAATTTGTTTCGCACGTGAAATTTGATAAAAACTTTTGTAATTCAGCTGGAGTAAGAGACACTGATACTGAACTAACAATATCTGTGTCTACAAACCCAGTTGAACTAAATGCGCGAAGAAATACTGGATTTGAATCTAAATATCGAATAGAATTCTTTGGTGTCATTGTTCTAAGTAGTTCGAGTAATAATTGTGGATTTTCTGCTCTTTCTTTTTCAGATGGAATGTAAAATGCTCGATCTGCAAATATACTGCCTGCAGGAGCACGCCCAAAGTGAGTGGAATTGAGTGTACTTGTGAAGAAATTGCCTTTTCCAGAATTTGGAACTAAACTACGGCTTGAATAATTTGCATTTGCTGCTGACGCCCTCAATACAAAATCAGGATTAGTTTTAACGGTAGCAGTTTTTGGGCGTGATGCTACTGCAGTTGATGCGCGGATTGAACCATATCCAACCCGACTAAAAAGTCTACTCATAATCTCTTTTTTTTTGTATTGTAACGTATATCGAATTTATACTTACAAAATTGAGCACAAATATCTAAATATAGAGGGATATATCGACAAAACTATAATAATGTTTGCACCATAAGCTTTCTGGCTTGAGAATATATCATCACATCATTAGATTTATGTTCGATATTTTCATGATTTGTGATAATATAAGTGGGATGCAGCAAATATACATAACATAGTAATTCAATATGAAATGTAAACTTAAAATCCGCACAGTAGTAGGATAGGATGGGCTTTGTGACTTTTTTTGTAAACGTAAGAATTCTCACAAATATTGAACGATTTTGTATCATATATGGAATCATAAGAATTCTCACAAATATTGAACGATTTTTGAACATACTTCCGAATAGCAGATTTTAAAAATTTATGAATAATTTATAAAAAGTTTTTATCTGATAGAAATAATACCTACAAATGATGGTATATAAAAAATTGACTTCTTACGTAAAATTAAAACTAAGTTAAATTTATTTTTTTATTTTTTATTTAATGATAAATGAGTATAACAACTAATTCATTGAAATCTTTAAAGTTCACTAATTCAGAATTAGAAAATATTTTAGAAAATTTTGGAGACGGTTCTTATCCAACATATATGCAGAATGTGAAAGAGTTTTCCAGATTGTTGAATGAATTTAAATATAACGGACCAATTACTAAAAAGGCTATAATGAGATATTTATATCCCAAAAAAGTTGAAAAACAGGAGAATATTCCTCTTTATGGTCCAGAGGACCTGGGCTCAGAGAGCCTTGAAACACCCCCTGAATATTTTGAAGAAAAAATTAAACAAGATGAATATTATAACGATGAGATTGAGAAATTGGAACAATTAAGAAATGAAATAGATGAAAAAATTAAGGAATTGAGAAATGCTGAGAATGAAGTAGAGGGTTTAATGAATATCCCAGCTTCAGAATCAGAAGTTCAAAAATCACATGAGGAAAGATATAAAAATTACTTTTTGGAATCTACTAAAAATTTATTAGATGGTGATATTGACGAAACACTTTCAGAAGAAGGCACAAAATTTATTCATAAACATAAGTTACAATTTATTGACGATGGAGATTATCCATGTATATTACTTTCACCTCCTCTTGATTCTGAAAAATTCAAAAAAGCTCTTAAAAACGTGACATATGCAACTAATACGATTAAGAAAGAAGATCATGATATTTACACAAATTATTATTTAAATAAATGCACAGGTGTTGATAAAGTTTTTGATTTATTAGATAAAATATCAAAAGAAACCATTGGAACCTATAAAATTTTGTGTGATTGTGGTTTCATTATTGAAGATACTAATAATGTTTCATATGAAAGAACAGCACCGAAGGAAGACGAAGTGGAAAGGTCTATACCATTCGTTATTAAGAACATAAAAGATATGAAAACTTATAAGCATTATATTTATTCATTTATTTCAGAAAAAATGGAAGCAACCCATAAAACATCTTCTCATCATTTTATAGCTATTCATACATTCCTTTTCAAAGTTGTGAAATTAAATAAGACAGGAATTAGATTTAATGTATCAGGGTACGCATTCTTGAGTAAATTAAAATGTATTCGTCACGTCGCAGATGATAAAAATTTATGTGTTCTTAATTCATTTTATGGACTTTAGCCCTGGACTCTATTTTTATTTATTTTTTTATTTTTTATTCTTACATAAATGAACAAAAATGGAACCGCTAAAATGAATGATAATCAAATAAGAGCCGAAGGTAGAAGGTTATTTAAACGCTTCTATAACATTCCTGATGGTGTTAATCCTAAAACTCGTAGAAGTTATTTAAATGAAGCAATAGATTCATATGAAGGGTTTGACATTTCATCAGAAAGTGAGAGATTAGCGAGAATGTTAAATGTTAATATTGATTTCTATTATTGTGATCCTCAACCAGAAGACGTGGACATAAATAAGGTAGACTTTCCATTAGTGGAATCAATAATGATAGATCCAGAATTTGAAACAGTAAATATTTTATTAACACAGAGTCCATGTGGAAAACTTCACGCTGACAGAATAACAGACGTTGAAGCACTCACCGGCTATAGAGTTTGTCCATATTGTAAAGAAGAAGTTTATTCTATCCGTGATGATCCAGAAAGGAAAAACCAAAGAAGATTTTTAAAGCATTGTGAGAAATGTAAAGAAAATAATGGGAGATTAATTCAAGACGTTCAGTTGCAAAAGATCCAGCAACCATATGCACCACATATTACGAAACAGAAGATATATCAGTGGTTATTAGCTCATAATTTGCAGGAATATTATAAACCGACAAGATATTATATTACTTTTGACTTCGAAACATTAGAGACTAAAGAAGAATTACAACTTTCTGAGTGTGCAACTTTAAACGCTTACTTAAAACCATTCATGGTATCATCAACGGTTAAATTAAACGATAAAACATATACGAGGAATTTTTGCTTAACTTCGAGTGATTCTTTTATTTCTGATTGGATTGAGTTTTTATTTTCAACCTGTTCATTAGTTGCTAAATCAAATATTGAACAATATGAAGAATTAATGAAGTCGCAAACATTAAATGAAAAACAGAAGGAAGCATTTAAAGAACTTCTAGATGAGGAATTCAATAAAGTGAATATCATAGGTTTTAATTCGGGAAAGTTTGATTTAAATTTAATTCTTCGTGATTTAAACACTGCAAAATGGAAAATAAAATCAATGCTGGGTTCTTCTTCACAATTTAAGCAAATCATTGTAAAGAAAACAAACGCTCCATATGAATTGAGATTTATTGACATCAGAAATTATATAGCGGGTGGGACATTAGACCAATTCACTCAAGATTTCGGAAACAATAAATCACGTGTTAAATCCTTTTTCCCTTATCAATTCATCACATGGGAAAATTACGAAGAAGAATTATATAAAGAGGAACCATTCACTCAAGATTCATTTTATTCAGCATTAACACAAGAAACAATATCCGATTCAGATTATCAAATATATCTCAATGATGCTAAAAATTTTAAGAATAGATTAGAATATTTTATTCATTATTGCAATAAAGATGTTGAAATTATGATTGACCCAATTGATAAAATTATTGAAGAAACATTTGTTTATAAAATTGACACGCTTCATAATCTTTCTTTATCATCGAATGCTTCAATGATTCGTTACGCTTTAGCATATAAAGACTTTAATCCTAATGAAAACTATCTTGAGGAAAAGATAGAATCAAGTTTTGAATTAACGAAAAAGTATTGGAAATATAAAATTGAATCATATAAGAAACAAGATGAAAAAGCGGAAAGAGATACTAAAAATAATGTTTCAATGGATGATTTTCAATACTATCACGATTTAATCCTTTCATCTAAATGCAAAATGTGTGGTAAAGCGTTTACATATGCAAATAAACCAACATTGGATAGAATCGATAATGAAAAACCACATACCAAAGAAAATTGTCAGTTAATGTGTTGTTATTGTAATGTCGTAAAATCAAATAAAGATGAAGATGTTCAACGTTTAAGAATCAATTTAAGAAATTATGCATTAAAAAATAATTTACCAATGACTTTAGATTCAGTTGAAGCTTATCACATTCTCCGTAATGGAATTACTGGTGGTCTATCAAATGTTCAACATAGAGTAAATCTTAAAGGAATCACACACATTAATAAACTTTCATATAGTCCAGAAACTAAAACTGTATCAAATGAGGACACCACCAACATTATGACTCATTTCGTTGGTGTTGACTTTAATTCATTATATCCTTCATCATTTTCATCTAATCCTCATGATTTCATTCAATATACTGACCATAAAATGTATATGCCGGGAAGATTGAATGGTGTTATCATTTGTGATACAGCAACAAAGAAAGCAAAAGCATTGGGAATAATTAAGAAGAAAAATACTTTATTCGTGGCTGAAGTAAAGGGTCACATTGATGAAAAATACATTAATGATTACATAAACTTTTTACCGATAATAAGAAACTTAGATATTATCACAGATGAAAAAACAATTGGCAGTTTTATGTATAATTACATGAAATCAAACAATCTACCGGTTGACCAGAAACAGAGGAAATTAACTCAGTTAGCATCAACACACAACCAATATCAACCATTTTCTTCTTATTATCTTTGGTATCTAATCGACAGATTTCATTTTATCATTGATGATATTCAATCAATTTTAACATTTACTAAAAACACTTGTTTTAATGAATTTGCGAACAAATTTATGAACGAAAGACAAAAGGCTGAATTAGAAGGAAATAAAGGAAAAAGTTTATTTTGCAAGATTTCACTTAATGGATCATATGGTTACGATGCAATGAATACACAAAATTACGCAAAGACTAAAATAATGAATGCACAGAAGTCACGCGTTGCATGTATGTCAAATAAGTTTAAAAACATAAGAGAAATAGGTGAAGATACGTATCAAGTGATGCTTAAAGATAGATTTTATAGATGTGATACATGTTTACAAGAGGCATTCTTCACTTTAGATAATGCTAAATACTGGTATTTGGTTTTCATTTATGATTTTATGTATAAATGTATGAATGTTAATCGTTTTCATTTCATTGAAGGTGATACTGATTCATCTTATTGGGCAATCGCTGGCGATCCAAGTCTTCCTAACACTCAAGCATTTCAAGCAATTGTTACTGATAAACAATTTTATGATAAAAACATTTTCAAATTCGCACCATTTGATTTCTTCTGTTTTGATGAGAAATTTAAACCTAAATTAAAGAATAAAGCTGAAGAAAAAGCACATGAGAAAAAATTATTGGGTTTAGCAATGAGAAACAAGGTGATAACATGGTTGCTTTATGTCCTAAGTGTTATACATCATTCAACGGTTCAATTGATGGAAGTGATTTTAAAAAGATTGCACAAAAAATGAAAGGTGTTAGTTTACGACAAAATAAACAATTAACACCTAA